ACTCTTTCCACATTTTTTCCTGTCTTCATACAGCTTCTCCACTTCTAATTCCCAGTCTACTCCTTAAGAACCCTTCTGTTGCTTTAAATGGCTGAGAAAAGGAGGTTCTCTACTGTATGAGTAATCAGAAACATCAACAGTTTTCCACCTTCTTTATGGAAGTCCTTTACCTTAACTAATTTGAACTTTTGGTTTATCAAGGGAATGGACTGCTATAGTCTCCTTGGACATGTGCCATCTCTAACAAACCTTATACATATGCAGAGGATTGAGATGGAGACAGAGATTATGTAACTCGTCAGAAATGTGGAGAAACTGAAAGCTTAGGAAAGCTCCACTGGCCTGTCTCTCCTTCAATGAGGGTTCTTCTCCATCCTTAGAACGACCCAGACAGAAAATTTGAGGGACTAGTAAAAGAGCCATTACATTTCACTTTTATGCCCCTCCAAACTAAGCCTTCAAAGGCATACACAGTCTTTGCTTTATTTTCTCCTTCAGAAGAATACTCTAAAAGATGAACAAACTACTCCTCTGATTCACAAAAATTTCCCACAAGAGTTCTACAATCTGTTACTCCTGTAATTTAAGTCTAACAAATACAGCTGCACTGAGGAATAAGCCACTAACCTGAAGAAAACTGAAACTGTAATAATATGATTTATGCTTTTACCTGCAGGACTGCATCAAGCCAGAGAGACTTTGAAAAAATCCAGCATCCTTTTTCTCCTTCAGGTAGTCTAGCATTTTCTAAAGGGTATACATTTTTTTGGGAAAAAAAAAATCTCTATTAAAATTATATAAATGAACAACTTCCTGAATTACAATTTGAAATGCAAATCACTGGCAAGCAATATCATTGTTATTGTACCAAAAATACCCTGATATCCCTTCACACTTTAGCTTAAAATTAAATGCACTAAAATAAAAACGCAACAGAACACTGAAATTCTCAGAATTACTTGCCTCCTAGTAGTTAGAAAAGCATTACCTGTTGAACTATGGTATTCCCACCATTTAGAATAGCAATACCAAGTTTTAGTGTTTCAACCACCATGGGTCCTGTATGACCTGTCAAAACAAGGGTACAGTCATTAAACCTTGCAGTTATGAACTATTCAATCAGAAAAGCAGTCTGGAAATTATACCTACTATAGTTGTAAATGACATTTATTTTACTTCATTATAAACCATATACAAGTTGTATATGATATACATATCATAGCTATAATGACATAATACGCTCTATGGGTATAGCATTATACCTATGATATGTATATCACGTATACTTTTAATAATTCACAGTTTATTACCTTTGCTTGCACTAATCATCTGAAGGACCATCTCAGCAGCTCCACGATCATGTAAGCGAGCTTGCTGATAGAGAGTTCGCTGTTTTTCCATTTCTTTCTCCTGGGTTTGGGAACAAAAATGAGAACAGAATACACACGGGAACTGATTCAGAAAACATAGGAAGATGAGAAATCAGAAGATGTTGAAGGCCATCTGCCTCCATAATCCATGGGTTGTTTTATTCCAAAACTTCAGAACACACCGTCTTTCTTTTGTGTGAATGACCTAGTAAACCAGCTCAACACACCGTGTTACTCTTGCATAGATTCTAGTGGACCTATTTAAAATACTTGCAATAAGCCAATGAGAAAGAAACATTATTTAAACTCTCACCTCAAATGTCTTATCTTTTTCTTCTTCTTCCTCTTCTTCTTCTTCTTCTTCCTGACAGCTCTTTTGATGTTAGAAACAGAAATCACAAGATTTTGCTCATTATGAAACATAATGCCTAGTTTTACTGTAGTATTTCTACAAAAATGACCAAAGAAATTTTTTCAAGCAATAATTAAAGGCATTAAGAAGCATTAAGATTTAAAATCCCTGTAATCGTAAATATTTGTGCCCATCCAGGCTAAGATCCTGATATTCCCTATGTATGAGTACTTGAGGTTATTCATCCAACTGCATATGCACCCTGTAACTGCAGGCTATGTGTTCTTGTGTCATATTTATATCCATAATACTTATCTCCACAGTCAAACTCCCTTCACACATGTCAGCTGTAATCAATATGTTGCAAAAACTGATTGGCAACTTATTTTTGACTGACTTCAAACACTGACTCCAAATAATTACCCAAAGAATAAAGATAACTACTATGTTAAGACTGCTCATGAGTTAATCCTGTATAAAACAAAGTGCCAGGTGATATCAACAGGATTGCATCTACTGAAAATTTATATTATTTTAATGTAGGAAATATCTCATTATATATATATAACTCTGAAGAGCATTGGCTTCATTAAAAATGTAGAAATTACTGGTATCAAGCAGTCCACGTAAGAAAGAGAAGAAAAAGGCTTAAAAAGCATTTAAAATTAATGGGAAGTACCTGAGTGGAGTAAGGGTTGGAGGTTGAAATTATATATTTACCTTTGCCATCATGGCCGAATAGGCAATATATAAAGGATCATCTTCTAGTTTGCTATAAAGAGTAAGAAAAATTTTAAATTATTTTATGATATAGTGATAAAAAGATGTCATACTCCTACTAATATTTAAATAACATATTTATTAAAGGATATTTTATTAAAATATATACACATCTACTTGAAATGCTATTGCACTTGAAAATTGTATTATAAATGTATTTTCTTCCCTCAAATCAAGTCTCTAACTTTTCAATTAAACAATTTAGAGGTATATTTGGATATCCAGCTTGGTCATGTTGGATAAGTAAGGATCACTGACTGTTTCAGGTGCAGAAAAATATCGTGCAGATATAAGTTAGAATAATTATAACTGTCAGATGGCAAGATTGTATTAGTCATACAGAAAAAGTATATGAAGCACTGCAGTACTCTACTCATACAAAACACATATTCTAATTAACAGTCTAAATTCAAAAGAGAAACTGGCATTAAAAGAGATTCATGCTAATCATCAGTGAAACCTTTTCTGTCATACTGATTAAAATGCAATGAATACCAACAAGCAGAACACACATCTACTACTCTGAATGAACCAGCAGTTCCTGTAGTTTTTATGTTTCTATGAGATTTCATGCTCAGTTATTTCTGCACTGGGTAGTTACAAAGCTTTTAAAATGTCAAAAATAGTCAATATTTGTCTCAATATAAAGGTTATACATAGTTTAAATACATGAAAACTCTAATGAAACTAAGATGCAAAAAAGTATTCACCATGCACAGTAATGAACTGCAGTTGTGTTAAATCACTTCTGTAATGTCATTAGAAATTCAGTTACTGTGTGCTTTTACTTTATGTGCTTTTCAACGCAGTTCTTTTTACCTTCTTTCTGTGAGAGCACTGCGACTGAAATAGAGGATAATCTGATGAAGTGGATCAGGCTGTTTTTTCTCAGTCTCTTCCTCTTCCTCTTCATCTTTTTTTGGAGGTGTCTGTCTCAAGATTTATATGAGAATATAGAAATTAAGCTTCATCAGTAAGAAAAAAAATGAGTAATTAAGCTTAGGAAAGGATTTCAGTAATTTTATTCTGTCCAATTTGTGTTAACTTCCAGTATTCATCTTATTCAGCAACTTACAGCATAACCTGCAACATTATGTGCCTGTATGACTCAGAAGGAGTTAGAGTACCTGATTGTTATTCATATTTAATAGTAACATTAGAAGTTTCTCATTTGCATGTTATTGAGAATGAGACAGTGAAAATCTTAGGAAAGCCTTATTCAGCAGAAAATATGTGTTACCAGTGGATCAGAATTGAAAGAAAGTCCCAGCTCAACTCTTTAGCAGCAGAATTATTGGTATATGGAACTATTTTTCATAATAACATCAGATACATCCTATTCAGACTACTGTTTGCCACAATACTTTCATATATCATTTCTAGGTAACCTTGACTCAACAAATGTAAGGACTGCTCTTAGTCAATTTCAAACTTGTTTTGGCAGTTCAAAATATAACAAAGCCAGCACTGGCAAAAGAGCAGCATATCATCTTTACCTTACTTGTGTTATCAGCCCTTTGTAGGGTTTCAATTATTGTAGAATCATTGTAGTTAGAGATAATTGTAATTAGAGAAGTTTAATTTACTTCTCCAGTAAATCTGAAAGAATTGTAATCACTGTTTTGATTAATGGCCTCATTCCTTCATTCAGAAAGAAGGAACAAAGTCAATAAAAGACTGTGACCATATAATTGTTTAGAGTATGAGAAGAATACATTAGCTGTAATTTTGAAAAATCATACAACTTTCTGTACCAGTGGGTCTTTAAAAAGCACAACATGGCTGCTTTTGCTAACACTGAAGCATCTCCTGATACATTTTCATGTGATCCATTAAGCTCTGTATTCGTTTTCGTGGTGTTTAGATACTATGGAGCTAGGCCCCTTGGAAGTATTTTAGAAAAACTAACTACAGTGAGAGAAGAGAAAAAGCACTAGGCTTTCTGAATCTATATTCAGTAACAAAATGCTGAACTTTACCAATCGCTTTTACAAATGTAAACTAAATTTTTGCTGAATATGGCTACATTTATTTACTTCTCCTTATGATGTATCAACAAGAAAACAGCAAAATTAATTTGCATCAAAGCTGAAAATGTTAAAATTAAATATTATGCATCAACAAAAATTTTAAAAAGGGGTAAAGGATCAATTGTGTCAAGCTTTAAAAAAACAGTATAAAATATAGGAACATAGGAATTACCATAATGACAAAAAAAGTCTGACAGTTCATCTAATCCATTTCTCTTCCCAAGAATGGTATCACATAGTTTGTCTGAAGGCATAAACCATCTTAATGCACTTCAGTGTGCATCACAGGACAAATGTCTTTTTGACCACAGCAGAAAATAACCTTATGCCCTGAAGCATAAGGATTAATATTTTATAAGCTTATGCATATGCATACAGCACACAAAAATTAAATATAGGTTATAATAGGTACATAAAGTATACACTAAAGTGGGCACTGAAAAATATGCCCAATTATGTCAGTACTTACAGCCAAATCCTGAACTAGTTTCTCCTCAAATGAATATTCCTCTGTTTCTATCCAATAGTTCTGATAGCCATGGAGGAAGAGGTTAATAGAACGGTGCCTGGGGGGGGGTTGTGAAAGTGAGATCAAGAGGGGTAACGGAACATAGTATAATAGCTCAGGTGGTTAATGATTAGTAAGGATACGTATTTGTACAATTCTGATCCTCTGATTGGTCAGTGAAACAAAATGCAAAACATAACTAACATTCAGCGACAAACCCGCGTGTACTTTTGAACATTCTTTTTTTATACATATATGTACACATTACTTTCTGTTTTGAAGACTTTGGGAGTGCTAATATACATTATACATGAAGCTGCAGGACTGGAACCTTAATGCAAGCATGGAAAAAATACACACTTGAACAGACTGAGAATGAGTGGGTGAGATTTACACCTATGAGATGTAAATCTAGTTGACTAGATTTAGGACATTGAGACAGCAGAAGTTGGCCAACAACACCAAAATAATTATCAAGTACTTTCCAATTGTTGTAGACAATAAATGCCTTCGTCCATGTAGAGAAGCCTTAACCTCAACTTCTTTTCTTTCAGTTCCAAATTAGGGCAGTATTAATGTGTTCTCAAAGAAGCTGGATTAGAAATACACAAAACCTGCTCTAGAAAATGACCAATTTTAGAAAAGTCTTAAGCATATTAATTACTACTATGCAGTATTCATTAATTTAATTTTCCACAGAGAATACAGCTCATAAGACTACACATAATAATGGCCAAACCATTCCATCTTTACATTACATCTGGGGGAAAATTTTGTTCTGAGGTGCACTACACGAGGCTACAAAGGTTGTTCCACACAGCCTTCTCATTTACTTTTATCCTGCACTGCTAACAAAAGCTATATGAATTGGCTGTAGATACTATGACTTGCGTAAATACACTGTGCACATGAATTATTATTTTACAATGGAAGAGCTACTGAGCCAACCTTCTAGGTTCTGCTGCTGGCACTGGTGCCATTTTGTTATCAAATTTCAAAAACTGACCAATCAGAATTGCCTCTGAAAATTGTACAAATTCATGTTTTATGATAACATCAAATCATGGCTGGGAAGGAATAAGTGTGCGCATAAGGAAGAGGCTCTTCACAAGTTACATTACCGTTAACTTGAGTATAAGCCTGTCATACTGAGTTTTTTCATGTACTTTTTCCAGCCAAACACGTTGAAAGGTGCTCAGGAAGAAATTGCTAATTTTGTGTCTGAAGAAAAGCATATAGGTTTTCATTGAAGAAAGGCGCAAGGTAAACTCAATAAAGTAGTCAGAAAGAATGTACTTGAAACTGTGTATGAAAAATTGCCATGTACAACTTCGCTGTATCTATGTGCATATACAGAGGACAGACACATTTTTTTACAATTAATTTCCTTAAAACATCAAACATAAATACACACATCTCAGAGAAAACATTAATCACATAAGACACTTTTGAAAAAAGCATGTACATTCAATGAAACACAAAACATGAAGAATTAGTATTCCCTATCAACCAATATTTTTTTCCTTGAAAGATAAAAATACTTTAAAATACAACTATTACTTTTGAATCTCCAGGCACTTCTCAGAAAAGGGAGTACTTGGAATATTTACAGTAGAGGTTGAAGTAATTTTTCTATGATTTAACAAATACCTGCACATCAATAGACATTTCAATTTTTGAAATATCTTACTGGAATTCCTAAAAACTGATACATTTTATGTATCATTGTGTTTTGAAGAAAATTAGATTAAAATATAAAAGTAACATTAAATTATATTGAAAGCCACCTAAATCTCCAGAAAAGTTTCCAAAGATAAAGCTCATTATTCACTGAAGATATTAATCTTTTCTAGCATAAATGAAAGAGTACCACCATGTTTGCTTACTGCCCTTTAAATTAATTGATTCTAGCATCAAATTTAGAACTAATACTCCCAATATAAAGCTGCAACTAAAATGAGGAAATATACAAAATAAGGAGAGCTGCATTTGAAACTCCTGTTCTGAGTTTCCTGTCAGAATCCTATGATTTATACAGAAAAAATACGTGTCTATAAACTGATGAATTTTAAAACTCTGTTCTGCACCTATGAATTGAGCAACACACCTAGAAGTCCCTGGCCATGGCAGGGGGGTTGGACTAGGTGACCTTTAAAAGTCTCTTCCAACCCAAACCATTCTATGATTCTAAGTCCAAAGTGTTTTTTCACTCTTGCCTGTTTTGAAGGGTAGACACCAACATTAATTGGCTAAAATAGATTTATGGCAGTTCATTTTTAGCATCTACAAGATGAAATAACTGGACAGATTTGCCTCACATTCATATTTAAATTAGGAGTAAACTCTACCACAAAATCTACCATAAAGTTTGAGAAGAACCAACCTCAATCTCTGAAACACAGAATAGTTTTTAATGAAAATTACAGATCACGTAAATGTCCTACTTCAATGAGTATTACTCCATAATTTCTTGCAAATGAAAATACAGATTCATAACCCATTTTGCCCCTAGACAAGTGTTCCATCAACCTCAAGAATACTAAATAAAAGTGGGGTTTTTTAAAGGCAAAAAAAAGGTGAATCATTTTTATCATCTGGTTGCTCATATATACTCCAAACTTCTTAAGAATTTATAAATCCAGAATATGGTTGAAAAAAACACAAATGCTCACAGTAATTTTATACTGAAATGGGTGCTCTTCATACCGCTTCCTCTTGTTTTTCCAAACACAATTCTTGAAGATTGAATGGTTGATACTAGCCAGTTTGTTCTTACATTGTACTTAAACCTTCTAATTTCTCTGGTTCTTTAGGATTGCCTGGTGGTAGTGTGACAACTTAGAGAAGGTATTGTAGTCTAGAATGACTATGTCTTGTAATGGAAGGATGTGTGCTTTTTAAAGTATAACTGGCTTTTTATTTGTCTTGTGCAAACCTAATACTCTTCCAATAGGTCAGTGACACAGCTACAGACCTTTAGCCAACATCAAGCACGTAGATTGGCTTTATTAAAGGTATTTAAAAATGCAGTGCAAGTCTTCTGTTAAATACTTTGCAAACAATCTTTGAACAAAAATATTACATGTGAAAGGTGAAAAAGTGCAGAAGAAGGTGAGAGGCAAACTTAATTAAAGATGTGCTTAGGCTGTATCTGAATAAGAAGCAGATTTGTTGAGAAGGAACAGGTAAAGGAAATGGCTCCAGTGCCACATGGTCTTAATATTCTTTTTAAAGCAGTAGATGGATCCAGGCACAGGATGCCCTTTATCTCGGACTTTGTGGTATCTACATTCAACTGGAGTAAGAAGCAGAGCAACACATAAGTCCAAAATACCATTCTGCACTGCTCTACCCCAATAGCTGCTTTAACACATAGAACATTCTGATGTAGTAGCTAAAGATTGCCTCAGACAAGCTAAAGAGCGTGAAGCATGCAATAGCAGAGGAACAGCCATACAATATTAAAAAAAGAGAAAAGAATACAAACACAGGAGAATAAAGGGTAAAAAGAGCAACCAATCAGAGGCAAAAAAGGGACAGAAACAGCAACAACTTAACAATTTTCACAGATAACTTGAGGAACTATACAGAGTAACAGCTGACAAAAATGAAGCATTTTGGTTTTGAAGCAGTGTAATTCCTATGGTCTTTCCCCCCTCTGGTTATTTGTCATGAAACAAGTATTTTGCTACTGTGAGGAACGAGGTGATAAACTAACAAACTCTTGTCTCTTCAACAAAATTAAACAGGCCTAACAATCAACAAACTTGCAGGTATACATACAAGCAATATTTGCACTCAAAAAGGTAAACAAAAAGCAAAAAAATAAACCTTTAAGGCATTTACCTAGGCAGGTTGTATAACGGTGCCATTCTGAAACACGCAACAACAGCCCTTTTGCGTTGTTTTGACAGGAGTTTGTGCCAAACAGCTTTCTTTGATCTCAGTGGTTGTTCAACCTATGGGAAAACATCTTCTCATACATACAATGGAAACTCTTCCACTTTTATTCAAAAATTTCTTTCTAGCTAGTAGTTAATGTATTAGCAAATTAGACAATGTTATGAATGTGCCCTGTTATCTGAAAAAATTGTTTTTTTTTGGGGTTTTACACTGGGTTTTTTTGTTTCTAAATTAATAAGAAAAAATACTGGGGGCCTTATGTATAGTAACTCTCAGTTTATACAGAGAAGCTCAAGATGCCAGAGTATCTCATGTGTTGGACTCCTTGTTAAAATTCCAAACTAGTTATTTTGCCTGTTTCTAACTAGGCATATTCAATTGTTCATGCGAATGAATTTCTGTGCTACATCACTTGTGAATGAAATGGATTAACTTTGTATGGGAAGGGTACAGATGCCTTTTTGTATTTAAATTGTGTCATTTGAATGAACAGGCAACTGATTCAAAAGTTGGTATGGCATCCTCAGGCACAGAAAAAGGGGACAGGCTAAAACCAGTATATTAAAAATAAGTGCACATGCAAACATCTCTTCTTAAAATTACAGAGTTTTCAGCTACTGAATGGTGATGATTCGTACTGTATTGTAGTTCTTGCAACCGTTCACTAAGTTTTTCAAAGGCAAATACATCCTGAGTTTTCCCTGAAGCTAAACTGAGGCATTGCAACAGATTACACGAAAAACTTTGCATATATACACATTTGTATGTGCATGTGTGTGCGCATGGGCAAAAGTAATTTTTATCAGGAAACTTTAATAATGACACTCACTGAAGTCGAAATAATCTCTACAAGGAAAAAAACCTCATGCTTCTTTAAAACAAGGGTAGCATAGACATTTAATATTCTACCTGTTCCAGATGATAGAGAGCAGCTGATATCCTCTGCACACGCTCCACATTTCTCTCGGGGTCAGTAGGTTCATCACTCTTCAGAATGTCTTTGTACAGATTTAACTGCCATTTCACAGCTGGATCATCAGACTAAAACCCAACATATTTCATACATAAGCTGCTGAATGAAGATACTGAAATTGACTACCAGCACTATTATTCTCATAGTATAATGAAGAATGTTACAGATATATTCCACTTCATCTGTCCCCTTTTAGTCAAAATTAATATCTGCTAGCTGCTCAGAAAAATGGCATTAGATTCTGCATACTGTTGGGTAACTGAACTCAATTCTTAAGCAAGGTTCTGTATTTTCATTTCATGAAACCAAATAAAGCACCCTGGGACTTCTGTATCGCATTTAACTGCATTAAAAATAAGGAAGCACATCTAGTACTGGGATTGAGTTTAACTCCTTGCAGGACTTCTGTACCAACAGTGGAAAGCAGCTTTATGAAGTCTATAAAAGACAGCTGCAATTTCAATAGGTGAAGAGTTACAGCCAAAGGATGTGGGTTTTTTGCAAGAGAGAAATAGAAGAAACACATTAGAATTACTTGGCGTGTCCAATTTACATTTATGTAAGCACAAATTTATAGCACCCAGACAGTCATCTCCCATGATGGATAAATGAGTTACTCCTATTATGTTCAAAGACTTTAGGCAATGATCTAAATTATTTATTATTTACAGAATGATGAGGACTCCATTTTGGTATCACCTTTGACAGTGTATTCAGAATATAAATAGTAGGAACATAAATGTGCTTGTAAAACTCTGAAGTGTTAAGACGACACAAGCTTTTTGCTATTTTATCATAGTCACATTAAAATGCACATATTCTTAGAAATACTATTTAATCATTAGTGCAAGTTAAATTAAAAAAGAGAAACTGAAATACTGCAGTTTTAATTTTAGTTTCTTCTTGCTTTGAGCTGATTCTAAGTAATTATAGCTTTAAAATTACCAATATCTCAATTCTTTACACTTGTCCCATTCTATAGGACTTCCTGAAACTCAAAAACACCAGCCAAAGCTACAAAAAAACTATTTATTGTCATGAAAAAATTATGAAGAAACAAGTTAAAATGGCAATTTTTGTAATACCTTTTCACATTCTCTTTTTTTATGTATCATGATAAACAAAACAATTGTGACTTCTGTGTTTTAAAAGTGCACATCAGCATCTTTAAGACATTTTTTTTTATATTACCTTTTCCTGCAAATGTAAGTTGTTACGTAAATGTTCTTTGACTTCATCATCAGTGTCCTTCTGTAGAAAAGTACAAGTAGTTTTCAATTCAGATTATGATTCACCTCATAAGAACATGTGCCACACAGAACAAGTATTATTTTAATATTGAAACTTCACCTCTTTTGTTTTCGAAGTACGTAAGTTACCAGAAGGGCATGGGATAAAGGCTTTCTTTCATTTTCACCACAAAACAAGGATTAAACTTTGAGGAGAATTAAAGCTAACTAATGATATTTCAGTATTTAGTCCAAAAGAATACACATATGTAAATATATACATTGTATAGAAATGGAAAATTACATAGAAAGGATAGCAGCTGGCTAGACACACCACTAGTTGTAAAAACACAATCAGCAGCTATAATTGCTTACACTACACTGATGTATTTAATTATATTGACTGCTTAGATATCTATGCCTCAAAGTTCAGTTTATAAAGTTCTGCTTATTTTGCATTAAAAACTATTACAAACTATATACTTACATGGCTGTATCTCGTCTTAGCCAAAGAGATGAGCTCTTGATCCCCAGGAGTACACATATTCAGACCAATAGGAAGCATCTTTTTAAGTGCAGCTACAATCAAGGATGTTTGTATGGAGTACAAATCCCCTCTACGTTTTGATTTCTTTCTCTCTTGATCTTGTCCTCCAGACTATAATTAAATAAACAGAAAAGTAAATGACTGTAATTCTCCTATCACACACTTTTCCAACACACTCTTCCCCTAATGGTCCAAGGAAACTATGTTCTGATGTAGTACAATTGACTAAAAATGCTACATTAGAGGCAGGGTGTACAGTCTTTAGCGGGAAATGTAAAAGGAATACTTTTGGTGTGCGCCAATGCAGAAATTGCAATAACAGTAATATTTTATTAGCAGTAACATACTTTTGTGTGCATTCATACATATGAATCTATCTATATTTTCTGGGTCTTACCTCTCAAATCAGAAACAACCCTAAAATTAAAAGCCGAGTAAGTCTCAGGGAACACTATTAGTTCTCAATAGTACAGACACAAATTCAGGATTTTTATATTTTTCTTAGAAACTTACATAAACATATTTATCTAGGGTCTGAATGAATTAATATTGTCTGATTTGTCTCAATCGAAAAATACCAGTGTCTAAAAGGCTTTAATTCAATGCAATAAAAGGCCAATGAATTAGTGCCTCTGGGAAAAGCACTGCCCTTTGGCTTTGGCTAATATAAGTAACTCTGGGATGAAAAATTACGTCTTTTGCATCTTTGGAGATCACAAGTAATAGGAAAAGGAAAACAAAACAGAGAGAGAAGTAAATAGCACAGAAAAACATCGGCCCTATCTTCTTTACAACAGACAACGTACAACAATATTTCACACACAACTTTTCATTTATGAGGCAGCAAACCTTTAGAACAGACCCATACATTTAATGAACATATGGTAAACAACAACAACAACATAATAGCCCAGTTCTGAATTCTGTACCTAGATTAAACTCCTGCTACACTCAAGGGGAGTTTTGCCTAAGATAAGATTTCAGGACTAGGCCTCTAGGCTTATACAACACCACAAAACAGCAAATGCTTGCATTTAGCCCTCCACATGCTTTTGCCTCTGTCAATCAAGTTTTACTGACTACTGTTTTTATAATACATTGTGTAGTTCCACATAAGGATATAGCAGAATCCACTGCAATTCGTTATCTACCAATTATTACCACACTATTATCACAGTAATCACTGGAAGAAAAAAAGGCAGCCATGCATATTCTACTCAGTGGTAAATTTTGACAAATTCTGTCTTCTAGATGGTGAATGTCCGTGTACATAGCTGGTGTTGAGCATTTTGCAGGTCAGAGGGAACACACAATGGATGTGGCTTCGTTTCTTAAGGAACTAACAATTGCAAGAGAGTACTTTGCCTCAAAGCTTTGCTTTTGGAAGTGCCTTAGAAATAGCAGTGATGTAATGGCTATAATAATGACATTATTTGTACTCTACATTGACAGCATACAAACAAATCCCACAATGTATCACTGTATTCCAGTGGCGTCACTGTGCATCTTAAATAAGGAATAACAAAATATATACTAGATATATTAAAAAAAAAAGGAAAAGAAGGACGGATACCGGTTTACTTTTCTGCATCTTTATGCTTGAGGACATTTTACACATCCAATTTTCTTTGTTTTCATTTGAGATTAATAACTAGGTATGAAAAACCTAGTTTAAGGTCTTTCAACAGTTTTAAGGTGAACCTTAAAAACTGAACATTTTTAAAACGTGAAAAGAAGATCCATTCTGCCTTTGCCATCAGATTCTGCTTTGTGTGAATTCCCAGCTCCTGCTGATAAATGTATAAGTGGAGTCACGGACAGAAACTTAAATGACAACAAAATTATCTCTCTTTCAATTCTAATATGCACCTATGTGAATAAACACAATACCTTCATTTCACAAGAGCATTAAATTGGATATATTTTCCCTAAATAATTAACTGTGCTAAAAGGACATTTCTTCAACAAATATATACAGAAAAAGAATTACAGGTTCCCCAGTAGATTCATATATACAATCAAAAAGAAAAAAGAATTTATTCATACTAAAAAAAAATAGCTAAAACTGGTTAAATTGATGGAATTAATATTTTTAGTATTTCCATCTCTACTTGAATCTTCAATTCTCCAAGATTATCATGACAGCATTCATTAAATCCTATTCTGTATACCTGGGGAAGTTTGACAATAGCTAAGCGTGAAATCAGGTTTATTAGTTTAACACAACTGCTCACTTTTTAACTTATGCCTCAAATTTAAATGATTAAAAACTCTTCACAGCTTCATGTGTGCTTCTCAACACACAGGGTGACAGGAAAGATGAAAGGGTTTTATGCTCCATTTTGCTGGTCATTCTGCTTCACTAGTGAAGAACACACCATAGGTTGAAAAAGACTCATCCGTATTAGAAATTCATATCAATAAAAAGGTAGTATGAATGATGCAAAGGAAAGTGAACTATGTTTCACTGGAGACAAAGAAAGCTCTGAATACATTAAATACATAAAAGAAACAAGGATTATTCAAAACCTTTGTCACACCTCACATCTTTAGTAAAGATCATTTTAATTTTGGAAAAAGGTAGGATTTGAACTCTGTATCTTATTTGAACTTACTGGTTCTAATACAATCTTTTATTCATCTGCAGACAAGGTATAGGTTATAGCACATTTCTCCCACATATTTTTCTTGAATATCACAAGCCAAATAAATGTTTCTGATGACTCTACTTCAGCATTGCTTTTACAATGTCTTCTTCAATGTATTAGCAAAAAAATCAAACTGCAGAAAGACAGCAGAGGCGGAATGTACATCTAAAATAATTACAAAAGGTAATGTTACTACATTTTCACATTTAGCAATGTAGGAGTACGAAAGGGAATTTCAGCTGCTCTGGTCAAATACTGCCACTTTAACTTGGAGAAAATTTACAGCAGGTGGAACCTGGGCCTTCACTTTGTGACGCCACTGCTATGATCAATGGACAGAATGCTTGAGGCCTGATCATCTCAATCTAAAACAAAGACACATCATGCACTTTGACCTGTACCTTTACTTGCATGGCCTGTATGAAAGAAAAATAAAGGGAAAAAAAACATAAGCAAAAGAGATGAAAAGATGATAATTTTATAAATTAGTAATAAACTTACTTTATCAGGACAACAAAAATATTATAAGGTTGTAGCTAAAGCAACAGACTAAGTGTGTAGTCAAATGAAATCTTAGTGAAACAATTTTTATTCAGCTTAATCCTTATTAAATGATTGAACTTCTGAATTTATCTGTCACTATTTAGCACTACCATTTGTTGTTTCACCACATAAGGAAGTACATCGAGTAAGTAAGCACATCAATATACTAATTACTGCATCTTTTCCCAATATTGTTAAAAGGAGGGAGGTGTCTGGAACTCTGGGTAGCCCAATAACGAAAATTATTCACATTTTCTCTAAAATTGCTCTTTCTACCTCTTTACCCCACCAAAATATTATTGAGAAAAATTATGTTTAGAAATGGAAATTAAGCATCACTGTGAAGATGCAGCATTTCATTTATAGATGTATTTTCCCATTGCATAGCTCATTACCATTTTGAAGACAGCCTGAGAGAAAACTTGACTTAAGCTCATATCTCTCAGCGGTACCCATTTTGAGAACACTATTACAAACTCAACTGTAATTCTCATATATACATAGTTTTTCCTGTTTATTATGTTAATACCATAAATGCCCTTAAGTAAACATGTATTCCATAGTCAATACTATGTTATCATTGTGTCAGGCAATCTTAAGAAGATAACAACAAAACCATGTAGTTACGGTAAAACTGCAAAAAAATTCAACTGTTACTCAAAATAATCCTTGATCGAGCATGGGAAAATACTATAGAAAACTGCTGATTAAAAACAAACAGAAAAAAGCCATAAACACACCTAGCCGCCCCTTCTGCGATAGCTCCAACAGTAACTTTGTGTTCTTGTGATACTTGAACTAGCCTTGAAATGTTGAATCTGAACTACTATTAATATCTCTTTTTATGTCCTAATGTATTTTTATCACATAGTGAAGAAAACCAGGTACGAACCAAGAAAAACTGAAAGACTAGTCATTAAATTAAGTGTTAAGCATCTTAGAATCTTTAATGTGTTGCTCAGAAAAATAACATTTTAATAGAAAATTTCAGTTTTGTGAAATATGTAGATGCTGCACAGGCATGGCTCGGCAGATATACACTGAAGGTAAGTAAAGACAAGATGTTAATTATATTTCTTTTATTAGAGAAGACCATAAAAGTAATCCACTCATGATTTACCATTATATATCTAAAGGAAGCGTATTCTGTGCAATTGAAGTAGTGTCAAAGAAGAGATCTAAAATTCTTGCAGAAAATACTAACATGAAATTCTCTAATTATTGCAAATTTGCAGATAATATGTATTACATATTACAAATAGGCATAAACCACAATGAAGTTTTGTGATACAAACTTGGGTTTAATGACTGCCTCAAACTTCTATAACAGGTCTATCTAAATGCTTTTTAAAGGTAGATAAAAAAAGTAATAGCAAGGGCCAGTCAAATAGAACTTCAGTAAAATATGTATGCATTTATCAGTTGAGGTTATATATACAGCCACACATTCATTTAGATTCCAAAATTTACACAGAAAAATTGCCCACATACGTATTATAAATTTACTCTGTACATATGAATGTATACATTTAGTCTCATACCAATAAACTGCAAAACACAATAGGACATCATTATTTCTTAATCAAAATGCTATTTTATCAACAAAGCTATGAAGGGTTCAAAAATAACAGATTAGTGGAGTTGAATGTGTTTAAATTGTCACTTTCAACACTTCTATCACAAATCTGTTATTTCAGTGCAATCTAAGTTACCAGTCTCTCTCAGACTGAAAGTTCTCTAACTTACCATTCCCCTCCGAGCAATCTGCTGCCATTTTTTTAGAAAAGAAAAATTAAAAAACTTGCTCAGCTGTTAATACATTTATTTGAGAAAATATTAACAAAGTTATTATTGTATAATTAAAATACAATGGGTACTTAATCAATTTATTGATTGTAATGATGAACCATTTTTTACCACTGCTATTAGCTACTCATAAATAATCTTAATCCTCACCCTCTGTATATTTTTTTTCTGCATATGGCATGTAAAGATATAGAACCTTCCATACATGATATATCACACCTTATGCACCAGTACTATCACAGTATCTTGTATTTTAGGAAAGTACTAAGTCTCTGTTGCAAGACAGACAGCTGTCTACAGCAGTTCAAGATCAGCATGGGGTGTTACTCCTTTAAGAGACCCCAACCTGTTCTGTCTTGGACGAACTGTTAATAGCCAACGTTCATATTCACAGTTATCTATACATTCTCATGCTTGATAAATACTGGATATGATTGCTTCCAGTAAAAAAAACGTGAATAAAGAGGAACTGGTGATAAAGAGGAAAGTGCTAATTATTCTGTTAGCATACTACTTCCTGAGCTGAAGTTAATATTAAAGCAAGGAATTATAAAAATAGTGTTATCTAATGTAATGTCCTCTATTGATTATTCTCTTAGAATATAAGTAAGGATGAAACCTTGTAAGAAACCCTGAAGTTCAGTTACTTAGAGAATTTCTTGTTTATTCTAAACTATGCAGTCTTCACAAAAAATTGATTCAGATCTAAATATATGTTTTAATAAATGCACTGGTTTTAGAGCATTTACATTCTATATTATGAAATGCTATCAATTTCATGCTTAGAAATCATATATAGAAAACCAATACAACACTTCCAAAAGATGCCTTATGTATTGTATCATGGTATGTAAGTCATAATGAAACAAATGCTTATGTAAATGATCAGCTGTTCTGCAATCACTCCTGCAGATATGGTACCATATTAATAAAACATTCCGTCACAAACAATACAATCTTTAATTTCTTCCTATATTAGCAATAAACATGCACAGTGTCTTTGAATGCTATGATTTGATATTAATATGCTTACAAAAAACTATATGAGTATAAAAAATGTATAATATCCCTGTACTGTATACCCATATGAAGAAAAATACATTTACATATGCATCTACATCCCTGTTATGTACAAATATATTTACACAAGTATTTATACATAATATATCTATACATTTAAATATACAGAACAGGCATTTGAAAATTTAATCTCAAACCCAAACTTTTTCCAATTTGGGTCGTATGGATACTTGATTTTATATTCTTGTGATTTTATCCAAATCGGAGCAGTATGAGCGATACCTGTTCTTTATTTTATCATTCCTGCCATGCCTGACTGACTAAAACATGACACTAGCAGTTTACACCATATTATCCTATTATCAATGTTGCACTGAGACACAATTCAGATTAAGTATGAACCACATGATTCTAACATATCATCTTTTAAAAGAAACAGTACACCTAATTCTTGGCTCCTCAGGCCAATTCTAACGTATAAACATCGAAGTACATGTATTAAATATATGTGTAGGGATTGCCACAGGATAAAAAGTACAGAGCTATGTGTTAGACTTTTATTGTGCAATTGATCATCAAATAACCTGGACTGTTCCCACTACTCATCATCACAGTTTGAATTGCTGTTCAGTGCCAGTCATGAACTAATGACAAGCAGAAAATCTGTTATTTTTGCTTTTAAACTTTCCAATATCAGGGTTTAGCTTAACCAAGTTTCAGAATTTAAAAATATGTAGTAGACAAGAAGCAAACTTTTTTTTAAGACAATTAAGAAATGTAATGGCACTTTTTATCTGAGTCTCTATTGTCTAAAGTTGAACTTACAGCAGCTAGGTTACAGACAATCAAAATATAGTGACACACAAAACAATAAATCCCATCACTTCTCTGGAACACTTTTAAAATAGGATTACTCCAAACACATTAACAAATACAAATAAAACAAAGGGTACTTTGCTACATTTACCAACACTAATTCAGAACTACATTTCAGCTGGCTTTAGTTAAGTAAGACAATCTTCCTCAGCTATGTCTAAATGGCATTTTTTAACTTGACAACATGCATTCTCTCTATTATACAGATAATAAATGTACTTTCCAGCCATGATGTCGGCATCTTGTCATATTGAAAATGAGCAAAAAAGAAATGAATGTGGTCATTAATAAGAAACAAGAAAAACAGTGCACTGGTGGCAAGCCATATGTATGAATAAAGATGTATATACATAGATAGCATTCCTTTACCGAAGTTGACAGAACAAAACTGACTGACATTCACAAGACCAGGCAACCAATTTTTCTTCACTCACTTTTATAAAACAGTTTACCTTTTTTTTTTTTCTGAAAGATCAACAACCCATATTATATGTTAAAACCCATATTCTCTTATACGTGTAACTTTTTCAAATGAAGACCTTTATTTTAATCTTATGTCTCTGACTACTTAGCAGACACTTAATAAGTAACTCTAAGGTACATAGCCTATATTTTGCATAGTAGTTGTCATGTCTATCATCAAGAAGCAAAACTATTTTTTATTTCTTCTACCAGCGCAGCAGCTGCAATAGCTTTTCAGAGCTTTCTTACAACATACTAAACACATGCTGAAGAATTAACTGATCCACAAACTTTTATTAACTTACTTTAGACATCTTGCTCTTGGTGTCACCAGTTAAAAATGCCAAATTGTTGATTTCATTTTGAATCACAAAATTCTGTTCTTCTCTTTTGAAATTCTGAAGATGAAAAAAAAAAATCACCAAAAGTTTAATTCATCTGCATGTTCCACATTTATATTTAAAGATAGAATGAAATGGAAGAAAAAGCATACATCTTATCTTACATGTGATTTACACCACAGGATAAAAACTTCAGCTACCATTCGAAAGAGTTCATCAGAATCTGCATCTGGTTTCTTTAGCCAATTGGATCTAATTACAAAAACAGGAGAAATTGAAAATAAGACATTTAAAATAAGAAAACTGAATGTAACAAACTGTATTTAATATATCAGGTTACATTTGTATTGTCAAACTTGGAACTTAAGGAGAATCACTTAATTTTCCATGACCATAGTTAGAGACACCATTTTTCATACCAGTTTAACTCATCTCCAGCAAAACTCCTAATTCTTGGCTACTTATTTCTGCCTGCTCCTCCTCCCCATGGTGCCAACACGCTTTTGTGCCTGATCTGCGAACCAGACTAGAAAACAGACCTGGTTGAAAAGCAAAACTCTTTCTACAGCTATTGCCCTATCACTTTTCTTTTCCACCCCATAACAAAACCGTTATCAAAACTTTGTGTTGATCCAAAAAAGAACACTATAATGGGAAGAGGAGGAAGAGTACTGGGAAATGAATGAGTGGGTAGAGCTGTAAGGACTGACTTCTTCAATTGGTTTATTTTGGTAATCCAGGAACTAATACCACTTCAGTCTGGGTCTGTCTGCACAAGGATGCTCAGAAAACTTGGGCAAATGAACCAACAGATGCAGCCCTCTTAAATGTCTCTAAATTAAAATGCATTAATATGACCATACATAAAGCGGGCATCTGATAGCAGACATGGAAGGATTTATTATGTTGTAACTTATGCTCATTAACTCTGTCTTTCCCAGTTGGATTTCTCCACAGCCCAGTTAAATTTGTGTTTTTTAAAAATTTGAAGTGTTTCCTTGCCAACAAGGTCTGACATAGTAAGGCCTTGAGTTCATCTAGAAAAAGCAAATAATTCTTAGTGTAAATTGGTTCACAGCATAAATGATCATGCATGCAATGAAAATGCTCCTAAATAGCCCAATATGTACTAACAACTGAAAAATATAAGTGGACAACGATTGTGTAAAGAAGAAAAATGGTGTTAAGGATATGATTAAGATACTGCAGATGCTGAGATACTATAGATACTTCAGATAATCTTCTGAAGAGCATCTTGGGGTCATGATCTGGGACAAAGGAAAGGGAAAGCGTAGGCACAGAATAATCCTTCAGTAAATGGTTGAGGAGAAAAACTTTTGGTAATTCCAAAGGCAATACAATGTTTTCCACACTCTTTTTATTTTCCGTCTTAAAAAAACAACACAAAAGATTAACACCTTTGTAGTATTATCTACAAATAGAATTCCTCAATTGAGGAGAAATAGGTTTTCACCCCTTTATTAACAGTTAAGGGTTTTTGCCATTTTTCAGTTTTTGAAAGGCATATTCATTTGTAATTTCATTGGGCTGCAGTAGCATATATAACAAGCCTGATCAGTATATGCATTCTCAATTATAATAGTGCAGTTACAATACAACCAAATAAGCAAAACGCATGTGAGAAAAAGGTGTGAATTCAAGGTGCATCATTCTGTAAGTTATGAATCTTAAAATGCTCAGGATCTGATTCTTAGCACATTAAATGCATTGTATTTTTTCTAATTATCTGATCATGGACTCCAGTACATTAATAAATATGACTTGAATTATTAGTTTTTGTTTACCTGTTGTTGTCTACGTAACGTATCAATATTGGATAGAAGGCATAAAGGTCTCTACAAAGAACAGCAAACTCATCGAGAATGAGTAGCTCAGCTTCTTGGGTGTCAGCTTTACTATCTGCTCTCAGTTGCTCCTCTTCCATCACAATCTTTATAGCTTTCTTCTTCAGTTTCTCCAATGTTGGAATAAAGTGAGTTTTGAGCAGATCAGGCCTGGCTTTGCTGATGATGGGTTGAGCATAAACTATACATAAAAATATAAACAATCCTATGATTAATGCACAATTCATGTTTTTCATCATATTTATATAAACTCTGCAGTTATAGTGCTTCACATATTTCTGGAGCATAATAAAATTATTAATAAAACTATGAATATAGCTTTGTAAAATTGGTGTGTACTGAGAGATTAAAAGCCAGTTACTGGGAATTCAGATTATAAGTGTTTCAGTCAAGTCAATTAAACTACCATGGTTTGGGCAAGTCACATGTCTCTAACTATAGAACCTAGTAGGGACTGAGACACAAAGTCCTCACAAAAATACTGCGGGTTTTTTTTGTGTGTAGTATTTTTGTATACAATGTCAGAAAATAGTCAGAAGATAGTGTTCTGGAAGAATTCCTTTACCTCTTTTGCTTGGGCAAGCTATAAGGCAGAGAATTAATGACTAATTCAAGATTATAGCTCTATTTTGTACAAGCATTAGTAATAAAATGCAGACCACCTGAGTCAAAAATCCTTGCAAGAACCACACTAGTATAGTATCTCCTTACATAGATAAGCAGCCACTACAAAACTGCAAGCAGTGGTCTCCACAATTAAGCAGCAAACATCTTACTAAATTTTAATGGAATCCTTATTATTATTAAAGAACTTCAAGTACTTAAAGTAATACTGGAAACCCAGTACCAATGGGCCATTAAAATCTAGCAAGAAATTATTACCTTTACATAGATTTTCTAGAACCACCTTATTGCATATTATACTCTTAAACTGTTTAAGAAGAATGATAAAATTTGGATACAGTAAATTTCCCTAGATAGCTACTAAATGTTACAGGACTTTTGAGAGAAATCTTTCTGCTCATTTAATACCTGGCACAGTTACTCAGGCAAAGCAAATAACTCTGAACTTGGGATTATTTCACCATGTACACTTTCTTTCTCTTTCTGTTCATGAAATATCAGGACAAATTCACAGGACTTATACCCTCTACTACAATACTCAGTTCTTAGGTTTCTTGCAAATCAATGGAATTCACAACTCCAAATTAAATGCCAAGGCTCTTATACAATGGATACAGAAGGTAAGATTTTCAAAATCCATTATGTTGTATAGAAAGCTCTCTGCTTACAGTGATCTCCCTCTCTGGAGATATTGAAGACTCGCCTAGACGCGGTCCTGTGCAGCCTGCTGTAGGTGACCCTGCTTCGGCAGGGGGGTTGGACTAGATGACCCACAGAAATCCCTTCTAAACCCGAACATTATGTGAGTCTGTGACAATGCATGCATAAAAATAACAATATTTTTTTTAAAATTATCTTTTTCTTATTGTTACTTATCTACTCTTTATCTTTCTTTCCTGCTGTTTTTAATTACAATTTATTATTATTGTATCACTGGGTAATATGGTAAAGTGTGGCAAAGTAATGAAATATTATTAGGTACAAATACTCCTTAAAAATATTTACAGTACCTGCAATTCTTTTCATCCAAGATGCTTCATCTATTCCCAGATTGTTGTTAATGATTTTTAGAATGTTTCCAAGAACGATGCTCAGATGCTCAGATGTTATCATTGTACAGCAAGGCCCAGCACTTTGAGGAACACTCTCAGATCCTCTTTCCCACCAGTAGGATAAATAGTTGCATAGCATGGGTAAGATAACCTCAATTACATGAGGCATTTCAGTATACCTTGCTCCAGACTCTGCTAAATTGTTAATTTCTTTTATTAGTCCATCCAACTGAGGGATCTCTGGACACATCTCTTCTACTCTGTCAGGCATACCTAAAACTGCCAAGTAAGAGTAGAAAAGCAAAAGACTAATTAACTAAATAAAAGAGAACATCTATGTTCATCTATGTTTAAACCCTAAATATAAATAACATTGTCACTCAAGTTTTTTTCTGTCACCATCTTGGGCAGACGTAACTGTAGTAAGACTTTGGGGTATACATTGGTCTCTAATCTCATGAATTATGTCTTTCTGATGATGTGCATATAGCGCCGATGTAGACAATAGCTGCCATAAAGCTATGGCTTTACCATAAGGTGTCCTGCAGTTATCTGGTGAGCAGCCCAAAGCCATCTCTGGGAAAAAGAAACAAATAGCTTAAAACTATGGCTGAGACTAAAATTAAAATGTACCTAGTTCATGAACTCTGCACATCTATCTCCCAACAAATATGTCAGTAAAGAATTCCAATTGTTGGATGCTTGTATTAGAAACTGAAGGGTGCTTATTCAGCAATTAACAACTCAACATGATCTAATGCCAGTCACTCTAGCAAAATTCTTCTTCCACCAGTGCTGCTTCTATAAAGTAGAGCTGACAGGAAGGAAGGGCTAGCACAAGCTTTTCCATAACTGCTTTAATATTGAAAAACTTATGAAGCGTACGGAATCGATCTACCTACTTTTTTTTGTTTGTTTGTTTAAAGGAACAATGATTTTGGCAGGTAATGACTCTGACATGGATCAATGGGGAAAATACTGAAATACTTTCAGAGTCTATCAAGAGTCAGTTGGGAGAGAAGCAAGCAAAGAAAATCTGTGTGAAAGGACACATGCTACTTTGATTAAGGTTTCATGGAATCAAAGTCATATTCTGTCAGGAGTTCCCTATGCCAAACTGCATTGGAGTACTGGTAAGACAACAAGAACAAGAAGATAATTTTCCTGTTCACATAAATAAGATATTACACTTCTTGCATGTTGCTAGTAAGAACACACTGTACAATTTGCTAAAAATGTTTGCAACGTAGGTATGATTTATGACTAACTTCAAATATTACAGTATGCAGTTTCAGCAAAGAATTCAAACACTGTGTTCAGAAAAATATACAGATATGCTAGGAGAAAGGGAACAATGTTAACATAGCCTCAACAAAGCAGAGCAAGGCTAAAATGACAAGTAATTAAAGAGCAATAGTAGGATTTTTCTACTGAGGCATACATTTGGAGTTTTTTTCATTATTACAATTTCTTTCTATTACTATTAGTTGGAGAGGAACAAACCCCTTTTTTTTTTTTGCATGAGGAGCAGTACTTACTCGCTCTTTCTCTTGCACTTTTTGTGTTGAAAACTGACAATGGGTTGTAATGGTTGAGAGAAGGTTCGAGGAATGCTACGGGAATGGCTGCTGCAAGAGATGCTAAGCACTCACCAAGTGCAGGACGCTGCCTGAATATGAGAGACACTAAAAGTTATCCAAGAGAAAAAGTCTTTCACTAGGCTTTCGGTGTCTAGCATGCACTATAAAGCAGTATCAACATTTATTGCTGATTTAGTTCATCTTTGTAATACACTAGGAACTGTTTGACTATTTTGAAAAATTATATTTCTCACATGAACAAAATTACTGGAAATTACAGTGCTATAAGAAACAGTTTTTAAAGAAAAACAACATCCACCAAGTATTGTATATTAAAGATAAACTGCTCCACAGTGCAACTGTGTGATTACAAACTATAGAAAACATGTCTAGAATATGCACAAAGAACATATTAGTAACTGCATATTCTTATTATACCTTTAGTTTGCTTAAACAAGGAGTAAATGCATATAATCAATAGGAATTTGCTTTGGCAGTCATACCCTTTTTGAAGATTTCACTTCTTTTCTCTATATATACATACATACACTCAGGGAACTGAATGGTTCAATAGAACTAATTGAATAAAAGGTACCTAAAAAGCCAAATTAACCCTTTAGACAAAATATGTTAGGAAACAACTAACTGGAGACATTTGCTTCAAAGGATGACGAAGAACTGTTAGAAGCTGATGTGCAAGTCTTGGAGGAAGTGGAAAACATTTGAAACGTAATCAAATCAATCTAGACTTTGAAAAACCAAAGCAAGATTAAAAACTGCCAACTGATGGTAGTCATGAAGAAGCATTTCCTATTGTACCATTGTTATAACAGACTTTCTTTGGCATTCTTTGGCATTCTTCATTTTGAGAAGGCTCCAATAGGTCAAACTGAAGGCTTAAACATAACAATCTGGATATATACGTATGACTGGATACAGCAGTTAATTTTGTCATATTTAACTACATACATAGTGCTATAATTTCTTAACTTAGGCAGAAGTTTGTATTTCCTATTACTGATACAGCTATTTCATAATTTTTGCTAAAAATCCTTTGGAAATGTGTTTCTATAAACTAACCAGGAAAAGACCGAGACACCATAAAGGGGCATATAACTTTTGGGTACTGGGTATGAAAAGGGAATTTTCAAGCCCGCATTCAGGACCTAAATTTCTGATGCAGTGAATGAAAAGAAATGGGCACCTGGGTACAGAATTCATAGTCAGAATGCTTATAGCAATAATTAGGGGGTTGGACTAGATGACCCACAGAGGTCCCTTCCAACCCCTAACATTCTGTGATTCTGTGAATAACGCTACACTTGCAGGTAGAGTATTAGGGCTCAAAGTAGTCCAGGACTACTGCATTTCGCATCCAGTCCTCAACCTGTATTAACTACAGAGACGCTTAGAGAAGAAAGGTCCACAGAGAAATCAGAATCATCTCCAACATCCTAAACAAGCTAAGCACTCCTTGTGCAAAGGCTAAAACCCTTGACAATGCAAGTTTGCCACATCAAGGCAGCAGCAGCAATCCAACTTAGTTTTAGTCCTGAGCCTCAGCAGCCAGGAGTCTTGCAGAATAAGCTGAACTATTTCAGCCATGAAAAATGATACTCGCCTATGAAAAGTGAACTATGACTCATCCTGCAATGGAAGGTAAAACTACCTAATGTCCCTGCCAAAATTCACTAGGAGAAAAACTGCACTTTGATCCTAAATCTGAGCATTGTTTAACTTCAATAACTGTTAAGTCAGCTCAATCATTCACTTATAAGTTTTGCTGAAATATTAAGCAGTGCGTTTGAAATCCTGTCTCCCACCTAGACACTGATGTCTGCCTACAGCCTTAATTTAAGAGCCTAAGTGAGTCTAGCAAAAACCAAACTAAATGAAATCCACAGCTGGAAACCTCTCATACAGCCTTAGGGGACAAATTCATTTCCTCGGGTACACCTGATCTGATCACTCATCCCTTGTAAGAAGACAACTGCAGTAGAAAAAGGCGATGCTGCTACCACCATCAGTGTTTAATGTAACTGTCCAGTGCTTACAGCTCTTGCCAATCAAGTGGAGGCCTGTGCTGTGAGCTCTTCTCACCGAAATGAAACTCAAGCACAGTCACCTCTTCTTTCCCATCAGCAGACTCTGACTGCTAGTTAGAGTAGGGGTAAGGCACTTCCTATTTTTCCTATCAGATCTGTGTCAAAGAGTATTTAAGATTTTCTAACCCAGAAAGAGGAGATAGTCTACCTTTGTAATTTAGTGAAGGACATATAAATGACCAAATGCGGACATACACAAGAATGAGCTTGTGCACATGCATACAGGCATGCAGAGTGGGAGGAAAGAGACAGTATGTCCACCAGACTGCTCTTCCATTTTTGCATGAAAGAATTACTGAATAAACTCTGGAAGGAAGGAAGACCAGCACTCCTCATACTAGGCAAAGCCTCTCCTAACAAGACTACAGAGTTGTAGTTCCTCCAGTTCAATCTCTCCCTCAGGCCCTGTGAATCTTAAACTTTTCATTATAAGAAAGATCACGAAAAGCACCTAACCTAAAGCCTTCAGTAGCATAAGGAAGGGTTGCGATTAACTTGGCTCCTGTCTTGTGATGGACAGACCAACAATTAGGGTTCTCTCTTCTGAAGCAGCAGAAATGGATCTGAGCCTCTTTTAATGGAAGAGGATCTAAAATCCAGGGCTTGGAACATATGATAGCAACCAGATGTTTAAAGGATTTGTACACCCTATTCTTTTTAAAATGCAAGAAACAGGTAAAGTCATTTCTATTGTAGAGTTAAAGGCTGTCAGAATGTTCTACATATGCTCAGGATTTTATGCTCAGGACAACTATTTTGAGAACTCTGTATAAACTTAGGTGAGACAAACACAGCCTACTTAGTACTCAACCTACTTACCACAGCAACATGCAGTAGCGAAACTGGGAAACTTAATGGCAAGCCATGGAAAAATTTGCCTTCCCCTATGGGAAAAATAAACTCCCTGCAGATACACTGCCATATGCAGGATGAGTTGTTTGCTTTTATTTAGTTCTGGGTTGGAGTTTTTTTTGTGTGGAATTGAACTCTAAGATACAGGCAACTACATTCCAGCTAAAGTGTATTTTAAATATGCTCACACCGTTTCAGATTGATCTTTCATTCAAACTGCTTTATTACCTAAACAACACACTCCTGAAGAGGAGAAAATTTTACATGCAGAGTTTTTCTTTCAATACCTTTCAACATAGATGTTCTTCCCAGTCCCAAGGGAATAGAGGCTACAAAGAATTCTGTAACATGAAACTTGTACATCACCCACTAAAGGAAAATAAGAAGTAGATTCTCAGTATTAATTCAACTAAAGACTACTTTCCAAATATTAAACATATGTTTTACGCAACCTGATAAACGGTGTCTAAAACTTTTAGCATATGTATCACTGAACATTCTAGGCTGTCAATACTCCATGTGTTATTTATCTTCAATTTCCCTGATACCTGGTCTGTCCTCTACCTTCTTTCCAAAACCTAACAGAATATCAGATATTCCAAGAGGCCAGCAGATACTTGCTATTAAGTTATTGCAGGTTATCACACTTGCAGAGTACCATTTTAAACTAAAACACATCAGTCAGTGTGTCTAACATCTACAAACATGATCTAAAGGCTCCCCACCTTTTTAAAGAAAGTCTTTTCATGGCTATCAATCTTACAATTAGCTTCTGCTTTGGAACTGTGATCACCCAAATATATACAAAATTTTGGAATAGCATATTGCTGAATCTCAAGGAGTCATTTCAGTAATTTTAAATTAAATGATACTAAAAATAAGGAAAATTCAAATTAAAAGAACTAAAGTAATTTTGTAACAAAAACCCCACAAGAAATTAACAATGAGTTATCTTCTTCAATCTAGCAAAGACATAGAAGTAACAAAAATAAGCATAATTTAATTTTCTGTAGGAAATTAGTCTCATCCACATAGCTGGCAAGAAAGCATTTAAGGGGAAATTTTAATTTCACTCTCTCAGTGTTTGGAGAAATACCCTACATAATTAACTTGAAACTTATCAACTGTTATTTTTAAACATGCAGTAGAAATTATAGTACTATGCAGCTAATTTCAGATATAATGCTGGAAATGTGCATTTTACTGAAAATAGAATTTCACCCTTTGAATTCATGCAATAATTTCTAAAAAGCATTTGTATAATTGTAACAGAAAAAACTTCAAAAATAAAAGACTTACAGAGTAAATCAATTCCAAAATGATATTGTGAAATATGTTCAAAAATCGATGTCAAGATTGGTAACAATGCTACTGTAGTATAATTGATATTCTGTGAAACACCCTTGATTTGAGTTCGTGAATGGGTAAATTTTCCAAGTTTAAGATTTTCTGAAGTTTTTTCCAGGTCTTCAGCTGCATTTTCAAAAAAGGCACGCAATCCAGCTTTAACAAGCTCAGATCCTGATTTCATAACAGTTCTAAAAAAAAATAGTACGGGAAAAATATTAACTTTGCATCAATCTTTAGTAGTTGTATAGATATATATGTACATATTAGTTACACTCAATCAGTTCTTGAAGATACACACGTGTATCATTGAACTTTACATTATGAACTGAAAAGGACAGTTACCTGTACATAGCAGTATAAGCAACAATTAGCTTGCAGTATTTCATACAAAATAATAACAACAAAGAACTTGCTTCCTCAGTCTTGTCTTCCCAGTTTTTGTGATCTGCTTTCATATAACATACTGCCTCCTCAGCTAATGTGAGAAAGCTCCTCTGTACAATATGCTCATGAAAAATAACTCTTAACCCCTAAATTTTTATGGGATCCTCAATAACTAGGTATGCAAGTCAGGATACACGCTTAACTATCTTCAAAAGCACCCTAAATCTAGAAAATGCAACAGCAATAGCAGCATCACGGTTCCATTCCTTAAATTTTTTGCACTCTTCTCCAATCCCTCAATGAAGATTTCCAGTGTTATTCACAATGAGTTCATTGCCAGGCTGCTATATAACATAACCAAGCCAGAAAACAGCTCCAGTTAGAAAACTATCCTGGCCTGTGTTTTAACCTTCATAAGCATTTCAATGGTAAACAGTAAAAGTCAGCAAATATAACTGTGCCCATATATTAATAGATTCTGTATACTTCTAATGCCAAATTTTCCAATACGCATTGAACTGTCTCAATATCTATGGGTATCAATACTTGCAGTTCCAAAGTTTATGTTATTTATATCTCCCAATAAAGTCTTCAGATGCCCTTGGAAAGGGTGACAAATTTTTCAATGTTTTAATGACAAGCATTGAACAGAAAAATGTAGATTAAGCCCTTCAGACAAAATCTGCTAAAATGGAGGTCAATATCTAAATTATTGATACTGCTAATATCACTAATTACAAATAAAGAATAAAAAATACAGAAACGATCCAACTGCTCCTGAAAAGCTCTGCAGCACCTATGTACTTTGCAGTTGGTATGAATGTTGCAAACTTACCGTGTGTCAAGAGACTGAGCTAAGATGTGCAGGCAGTTCACCATTGTAGCAGAATCACTACCTGGTTAGAAAGAGGTATTATGAGAGCACAGTAGTATAGAAAATGTAGGATAATCTAATGATCCAAAATGTCATCATTGGAGATGCACAGGTTAAACAAGATATGACATAATTCTCCCACGTTAGGTCACTGGAGGGAGAGTTAGGTCTGATTCTAGAACTAACTTTCAATTTCTTAAGTCCGTTTCCATACAACAACCAAAAAGCTGTCTACTTACGGCTCATTTTCATCACCTGACCCTGCAACATTCTGAACTTTGTATCTTGTACTAACTACATTTCTTTCATAGTTTTCTTACCAACATCTTTGAAAAAGGTATGTTTTTTTTCCCTACATCCCCCTAGCCACTTGAGAAATTAATCTATTGGATTCAACAGCGGGATGACAGAAATCAAAACAATTAGTATAACATGATTTTTGAAAAGCTAAAAGTAACTGCAAAGGCATGAGATTTTTTTAAAGGAGTCTGAAAATTCTAGAAGCTGTTATTTCTTCCTGCTCCAACACTTTGCATATTCTATTAACTGTTAGCTTCAGAGCCATGTTCAATGCACTCACTAATTGTACTGGAAGTTTATGCATCAGCTGATAGAATTTTGTCTACAGCTTGTGAAAAGTTTCAGGTAACATAGAAGCAATTGTTCTACATTCTTTATATTTTTAACTTTATCAAGATCTTTCTTAACAACTTACCAAAAAGTGAGATCCTATGTCTAACAAGAGCAGCTAGTTTGCAGAACAGGCTAAAGTAGAAAAGAACAGAAAGAGCAAGACAAAACAAGACAAAGATTAAAGCATTAGTTAGAATATGAGGTAAAGAGCAGTAGGAATATGAAAGAGAAAACACAACCTAGTTCCTGGAAAGTGTATTTTGAATCATACATGATGATAACGGTCAGTCAAGTAACTACAATAAGCAGAATAGCTTTTTGAAGATTCTGAATTCTCTCATTTTCCAACCTCCACTACTTCAGAGATAACTTGAAATGTGAAACTTTCTGGATTACAGTGGTTTCCAACAATTGTATATTATATGGTTGAGTCATTCTTTAAGGTTATTATTTCTGAATATGAATTTTTGTGTAAGAACAAGAAAAACAGTATCATTTTAGTGTTTTCCTTGGCATTCTGCAGGAAATGAACGTTACAAACCTTCATACTATTTAAAACAATTTGCAAAGATATCCTTCATAAATAAATTACTCTGTGTTCAGCCACTGCTGACAAGATGAAGCCTGAGCTGACTTCCGTAGCTACTGAAGGACTACCTTGCACATTTGTATATAATATATCTAAAAGCTCAGTAAAGCAGAATCTTAGGGACTTAACACTCACTCTTATGGGCAACTGCTATATAAGGACTACCAGCCATCTAGAAGATGGAGACAAAAGGGTAATAATAATTCAGAGAAATACAAAAATAAGTTGGAAGAGAAACTGAAGAATGGAATCTAGGAAATTCAGTGCTAGGCCTGATCTTATGTAACAGTAAGTAAGCTTTACTTTCAGATTTTCTATCTACTCCTCTGTTGGAAAATGTAGTCAACTCCGGTTGACATAGTGAAGGAAAGCAAAAGAAATTTGAGAAACTGACAGTTAAAGTAAGAAAGCATGAGAGTAAAAGACACTTTGAAAGACTGTGATACAAAATTTCCCAAAGAAATTAACTAGCATCACACCTTTAAGGGGGAGAAAAAAATCGGCAAGAAAAATATTAAACGTCAGTCATAGTTAAACCAAATTAAATATTAATTTAAAAATGTTAATTGCAGAAAAATGAAATTCATATTTTTGTAAAGGCAACACATTATAAATTAAAAGGCAACTGTCTCTTTTTAATTGAGTCTTCTAGAATAACTTTGAGTCAAATGGCTGATTCCAACCAAATCTGAAACAGTACAGACAACTAAAAATTATTAAATTCCAGCAATCTTTGTGCAGGGGCAGAAGTAATTTTGGAGAGAAAAAAGACTCTATAATTACCTCTGAAAAGCTGCATCATGGTATTTTCACTTTTTTTTTCTATATCTGAAAATTTAAATGTGAGACCATTTAAATGACCCAACAGTGGGATGAGCTTCAACCGGAAACTACCATCAACAAGGAAAAGTAAACCCATCAGAAACTAAGTTCTATTAGTTCCACTGCAGGCAGAATCATTCATTAATGTTCTTGATGTTATCATCCACAATTATATATTGTATATATATACTAATTATATATAAATTAGTATATATACTTAACTCCTTAATTATATATTAAAGAATAATAAAATGAGGAGTACTGTTCACTAATTGCCATTCTAATACAGAATAAACTATTCACTTTCTGAGGAAACTGAGCTTTTAAACTATCTTTCTCTTTAATCTGAGATCTTTAATTGTCTGTATAGAACCTTCCTATGTATATCTTAATTTTCTACTTACCTTGCTACCATTTCCTTTTCCTTATTTGAAGCATATCCACTGCTACTGAGTGTTTTTGTTGGAGAAGACAGGAAGTAGAGGCAGTGATTTGTAAAGTACTGATCAACTAATGGTAAAAGAACCTAAGAAATACAGATACAAAATGTATTTTTCACAGAGCACAATGGTAAATGTAGCAACAATGCTCTGATTGGTCAAAGTTCATTCAAAGAATTTTAGAAGTTCTGTAACAGTTGTATTTTCTCACTTCTGGCACAAAGTCATATAAATTAAAACCTTAAGTCTTACGATTTTACTTAAAAGTTCAATAAATAATAAACAGAGATATACAGATATATGTATTTTGGATCTAATATTGCAGGCTTACTCTTCTCACATTCAACAGTGACAAATATCATCGAACTAAGAGGACCCTTCCTCTCCATTATTTACATAACTGTCCAGTACACATAAAAAAGGAGAGAGCCTTTTTTTTTATTTTAAGATCCTAAATTAAATTCGAAATGTTCCTTACTTCAAATCTGATTACTGACATTTTTCTGATGAGGTACGCTAATGTGTATGACATCACTATGCATAGGAACACTTCTTCCTGTTCATTAAATGGTATTATGCACTTCAGTGATAGAACTAGGCAAAATTTTTCAGAAATAATTTATATGTTCAGCGAGAGTATTTAATTTCATGTAATAAATAAGCTGCCTTTTAATTTCTATGTTCCTTCAATTGAAAAATTTTGAAATACTTGAATCCAACAAATATATTGAAATACTTTTGAAGACATTTTTAAATATTTGTTAACAACATTTAATTGATTACTTACCATGAAAAAAATTGAAAAAATATATTTGCATTACCTGAAAAGCAGTCTAACACTACAAATTTCCATGTTCTGTATAATGGAATGTATATGTACTTTACTTGAAATACTAAATCACTCACTTTGGCAAAAAATTTTATTTCTTGCTCATGTGGAGATTTTTCAGTTTTTCCACTGGTTACAAGGGCTTCTGCAAGGATACAATCAAGGCAGACATGAGTAAGAACTCTAACAATAAATAACACAATAGCTCTTTTATATAGCTATGCAAACTTAGTTTTGCTGAAATACAAATAAACCAGCAGAAACAGTTTAGCAAGTTACAGATGTCCAAGAATTCAATCTGCAAATTAAAAGACAGAATTTAAGTTTCTTAAATGTATTGAAAATAGTGGTCGTGATAAGGTTAAACATATCAATGCAAATATATAAATATCAACAATTTAAATTATTTTCAAAATAAAATCTGCAGCTTACCCAAATGCGCAACAAACTCTTGAGCAGAATCAATGTATTTTAAAATTTTCTTTAGAAACTTAAAGGCAAATCTCTTTTCCATAGATGAAGCATCCAACTCCATCTCATTCAGACCCCTGTTGTAGAAAGCATTAAGATAAATAGCATTTATGATAGTAGAAATGATGACAGTACTATGAAGCATTCCATTCCTTATTATCTTTTAATTATGGTAAATTTTCATAAGAAGGAGAAAATGACCTTCCATAGGAACTCTTTGTTATCAATTACATAGCAAGAAATGTTAAAATCGGATCAGGTTTCTCTAAGAGGTATAACAGCTTTGGATTAAAATATCCAAAATACACGTTTTTCAGGATAAGACCTTCAGAGAGCTATCTTATTGCACAAATGAAGCCATGGTATATTTGAATCTAACCAAGCAATGCACTGGCCACTCAATTTTTACTGCTGGCAGATTAAGGTGTCAAATGTCTAGGAAGTCAGCAATTACAGCTTTACAAAAATCAGTCTGAGCACTACACTTTATTTCATTATTCACTATTAAACTTCATTTTTTTCCTTGAATTTTATGAAAGACTGAAGGAAAAATTACTTAAGCTACTAAACGAAAACCTAAACGCAAGTAACAAACTATTATACTATTCAAGGTCTTTGAAAAATTTCAACAGTGTGTGATATTTTCTAAAGAGGTATGCATTATTTATTCTTTGAGACAAATTCATGACCTAAATCATGACTGGTGAATGCAAGATATTAAAGAGGAATAAAAACACGTGTGGTTGGCTGTGTCTAGATTTAAAATATCAGATTTTATTTTATCTACAAATGAAACCTGCCCCACTGAAATGCTAAAATTCTTCAGGATCACAGAAAGTTTGGAAGGAATCTCTGAAAGTCACCTGATCCAAGTTCCATCTCAAAGCAAAGCCAAATCAGAAGCTAGGTCAGGTTGCTCAGAACCTTGTCCAATAATGTACTATCTTCAAGGACTGACAATCTCATGATGACTCTGGAGAGCGTACTATAATGTTTGAACACCCTTCATTGTGAAAAAATAAGTGTGAAATATATTCATATATCTAACTGGAATTTCCCTTGTAACAATGTGTTACTTTTGACAAGATAGTATTTGACCTCATCATCTCTATAACCATGCATTAAGTAGTTGAAGACAGTGGCAAATTCCTATTGTAGCCTTCTGTTTCAATACTGAAAAAATCTAGCCTCTCCTGGTACGACATGCACGCCAATCTCTGAAGCATCTTGGTGGACCTCAACTTGATTAACTCTTTTGTCAATATCTTCTTTAGCACTGGTGACCCAAAATCTAGACAACATACTCCTGATACAGTCGCATGATCATAAAATGGAAAGGGAAAAAAATCACCCCCATCAGCCTCTAGACTACACTTAACTAATACAGCCTAGTATGCAGTCAGCCTCCATCACCACAAGGACGCACCCCTGATTCGCATTCAACCTGCAGAATTTGAAGTGCTTTTCTGCATAGATGCTGTCAGGATCATTTTCCCTATTCCTGTGGTTATTAGACCCCAGGTAAAGGACTTTGCATTTACCTTTGTTCAGCCTCATAAGAGGTCTGTCTGCTCATTTCTCCAGCCCATGACAGTTCCTCTGAAAGGCAGCCGAACTCTTAAATTTATTGCTAAGGGTTCATTACACAAAATTACTAAGGATGCATGCTGTCTCATCACCCGGGACGTGAACAAGGATTTTTTTCTTTTTCTTTTTCTTTCTGAAGTTACATAACTTTAATTTAAATTAAATTTAAATTAATTTTAATTTATTGTTTTCAAATATACTTGTTTTTACAAGTCATTACTTCTTCTTCATTTCCTTGAGGCGTTCTTGCACATTTGTTTAGTTTGCAACTTCTTCACAGTCTTTTTATTCCAACGTTAAGAAGAGTTGACAGATGGTGGCCTACACCCAGAACATCTAATTGGCTTGCCAAGTGAGGAAGCAACTAAGCAATATTAAGGAAAACCTCTGTTCACTCATAATGGCTACTTCATTTGCTTCTGTACAGACTCTTCAAATAGTAGCAGAAAGAAAGACTCTCCCTTTATCAATTAGAGAAAATGACCTGGCTAAAGAAGATGCAGAAACAACAGAGGGGTTGAACAGTGTGTCAGAAGTAGGGAAGAAGTAAGGAACTGGTAGTTTGTGGCACTGGGGCAAAGAAAGGAACAAGAACGCAGGACTCACTGTTGTGCATGGAGGAAATGATCATTTGTCCTGAGATTCCTTTGCACTGGTGTAGGAGTAAATTAAGGAGAATAAATGGAAGGTCAAACTAACAGTGGAAAAACGCCTATGAGGTGAATCCAAGGAATCAGTGAGACCACTGTAAATATTCTCTTTTTGTATTTATAGTAAGTCATGGTTGCTAAGAGATTACATACACTTTCCTAAATACTGAAAGACATTGGTAGTGCCGTTAAATAACAAAGGTGACATCAAAAGAACCTGTAGACGTTTAAACATGCTTAACAAAATACCATGTTTTTTCTAACATATACTTGAGTAAGGCCTGAGAGATTTATCTGTATATCATAAACACCGGTAAGTGCTTCAAAAGTGTTCTCAAAGAAAGAGGAGCAAAAATCAAAACAGAGGCAGATGGCATGTGTAAAGTACACACACTGTGCCACCTACACGTTTCCAACTATAAAGAATTTATATTATACTATTTATATTGTACTATTATATTATACTATTATATTATATATTATATTTCCAATTATAAAGAATAAGTCCGTTTTTGAGAATGACATTCTGAAAACGTGATAATTGCAATCAGAACTTCAAAAGATTTTATATATACTTAAAATATGCACATATTCATCTGAATAAAACACTAAGAAGAGCATAGTCTTGATTCACCCTGATATAGACACTTACTGCAAACTCCTTGCCCATACTCTATAAAGAGTTTGAACAGGCTTTTTCAAGTTGATTTGTCCCATTAGTTAACACTGCAAACATTGCCCTCCTAACCCAAACAGATGCAAAAAGATAGTAAAACTAAATTTGAGCAATTCCATTGGTGTTTCAAAGGTCCACTCATTTGCAGGAACTAAACCTGCTTTTCTTATTCAACGACTCTAAAGCAATTGCGGAGGATATAAAAATGTTTGGTGGCATACCTACACTTGGTTTCAGGCTGAAAGCCTACATATGTGGCAGGAGGGAATTTTTCTCTGTAGTAATGCACAAATGTAAATTTAGAGCTGTCTTCCAATATCTTAAGAAATGTTCTTCATTGCTGAAGCCAACAAAGTTACTTTTTGCAGATCCTAATAATCAACTTGTATAAATTTCTGAGTGCATACTTTCACTAGAGACACAGACTTGAAAAGCAGAAATAAATGAAAACAAGGTCCTACTTTGTGCATGTACAGAAAAATTTGTTCATGAATAGTTTAGTTTACAAAAACGCTTAATGCCAGCAAAATTGCAGTTTCCTATGTGCTCAGGTGTTTCACATACAATAAAAGATGACAGTTATAGTGTGGTAACTCACAATTCCATCATATAAAGCCAAAAACACGGTATAATAAGCCTGTCAATGAAATTAAAAGAACTAAGTCCCCACAGGCCAGGTTATTTCCAGACACAGCACTTCAAGTTAGAGTACAACTAATGAAGTCTGCGCTTCTACATGAGCAGAAGGATGAAACGCCCACGAAACAGCCACTTTGTATTACAGAATCACAGAATGGTAGGGGTTGGAAGGGACCTCTGTGGGTCATCTAGTCCAGCCCTCCTGCCAAAGCAGGGTCAACTACAGCAGGCTGCAGAGGACCTTGTCCAGGCGGGTCTTGAATATCTCCAGAGAAGGAGACTCCACAACCTCCCTGGGCAGCCTGTTCCAGTGCTCCGTCACCCTCAGAGGGAAGAAGTTCTTCCTCATGTTCAGACGGAACTTCCTGTGCTTCAGTTTGTGCCCATTGCCCCTTGTCCTGTTGCTGGGCACCACTGAAAAGAGTCTGGCCCCATCCTCCTGACACCCACCCTTAAGACATTTATAAGCATTTATTCGGTCCCCTCGCAGCCTTCTCTTCTTCAGGCTGAACAAGCCCAGCTCCCTCAGCCTCTCCTCACAGGACAGATGCTCCAGTCCCCTCACCATCCTCATAGCCCTCTGCTGGACTCTCTCCAGTAGCTCCTCATCTTTCTTGAACTCACCAGGACACCCAGGTCCCTCTCTGCAGAGCTGCTCTCCAGCAGGTCGGCCCCAAGCCTGTACTGGTGCATGGGATTGTTCCTCCCCAGGTGCAGGACCCTGCACTTGCCCTTGTTGAACCTCATCAGGTTCCTCTCTGCCCAACTGTCCAGCCTGTTCAGGTCTCGCTGAATGGCAGCACAGCCTGCCGGTGCATCAACCACACCTCCCAGTTTTGTATCATCAGCAAACTTGCTGAGGGTGCACTCTAACTCTTCATCTAGGTCACTGATGAAGAAGTTGAACAAGACTGGGCCGAGTACTGACCCCTGGGGGACACCACTAGTTACAGGCCTGCAACTAGACTCAGCGCCGCTGATGACAACTCTCTGAGTTCTGCCCTTCAGCCAGTTCTGCTTCACAGAACTCAAACCAACGTTTTTCTTAAAAATTGGGTTAAAAAGCACTTTTACACAGATGTGTTTCAGTATTAGACCTCAGATTTATTTTCCTGTGATCCTTACCTTTAGGGGAGGTTTAGATTAGATATTAGGAAAAATTTCTTTACTGAAAGAGTGGTCAGACATTGGAATAGGCTGCCCTGGGAGGTGGTGAAGTCACCATCCCTGGAGGTATTTAAGAAATGTGTAGATGTGCCACTTCAGGATATGGTTTAGTAGGAATGGTGGTGTTGGGTGGATGGTTGGACTTGACTATCTTGGCAGTCTTTTCCAACCTATGATCCTATGATTCTATGCTGGCTGCTAATTTAGAAGTTTTGAACCATCTGCTTGTTTAACTTCACTACTGTTGCATTTTGTATTTACTATGATCACACACTTACTAAAATGTTACCTGTCTACCCTACTGCAGAAGGGTCTTTCTGAACATAAAAATAACAAGGACTCTGATTTACAGAAGATATGCCAAACAGTAATTGTGTTAATAACTGACAGACTGCAGAGTGATAGGGACAATCACCATGGTTTGTTCACTGAATGCAAGCAAGTATCTCAAAAAACCATGCAACTTACCGAGATATGATTATACCATTGACTTGAAGGAATTTAAACAGGTCTTGTGCCTTTTCACGGTCCCGTGACTTCTCCTTGGCTGTCAATGTGTCATAAGGTACCAGTAAAGGATGACTACCTCCACCTTTAGTAAGTTGAAAGAATTGTAAGTTTTTCTACTGTAAGATTTATTTTGCTTCAAGTACAAAAATGAACTATTCAGTTTTATTGTCTTACAGTGTTCTTTCACACTGTTTCTTCTCCCTCATTTTCCTTGTCTTTTTTGTGTGGTTCACAGGATTCTGGCTTACCTTTGCTTTCCAACTCTATTTTCTTCTTTTTGGCCCATATATTATGATAGTTTTCTGCCATTACTTCAACCATTCCCTACATTATCATCAGAAGAAACAAGATGCAAAATTAAAAGATGACAACTAAAAATTCTGTAATTCTACACAATTTTAGTCTTGAGTAAAGTCGACACTTCTGTGGTAAAGAAACATCACAGTTAAGTGTCATTTCTACATTCAGCTGTTCTTTGAAGTCAGCACAGGCACAGGATAAACATGTATCGCATGCTGTTTACAGCCCCTTCCCTAGTTTCATGATAACATTTTCTAGGAACTCGGGAAGAACCAATAGGATAAACCACAGAAATGTCTTCTTGAAATATGTAAATAGTATGACATGCACCTTTGTACAACAGCATATCACAACCAAAGTCAGAAATATACTCATAAAACCTGACAATATTCAACTCATTATTAATAAAACCCCCAAATCTATTCATTGTTTTCAGCACGACACATGTAAAACACAAATACAAACCTGAATCTCCCTAGAAAGCACCACATTAGAAAGATCAAGTGGTGCTGGACTATACCCATTTCCCTGTGGGAAAAAAGGAGAATTATTTTCAGATAAAAATATTTCAGATAAAAGAATCAGATATTCAACTACAACATCTATGTTGTTGATCTGATTAGAGTAACACCACATTTTTAAACTTTCTTGTAGAAACTGTGTTCACCTTTTGTTTTGCAATGTGTTGAAGACACACAGGATGACTAACAGGGTACATCTGCTGACGTGGAAGTAAGAAGATTGCTGCAGATACTTAGATCTGCCTATTCACAGCAGATGGCAAGCTGCTAAGAACTATGCTTTTCAGCCTGAGACAGGAGAGCAGTCACGAGGCATACATGATGTGCCTTCAAAATGTGACAGAACAGTGTGGCAACCGCCTGAATGAACCATATACTAAAGACAAGACATAACAACAAAAAGTTAAAATGGGTTATTGTCTCATGTAATTTATAGACTAAGAAAAAGGAGGAGCATTATATATTTATGCAGTGTTTAAATGTCTAAAGTGTGAAAGCTCCAGTGCAACAAACCTGTTAGGCATATGTTAAATGTGAACAGTCACATATAAATCAGTGATTTGAATCATGTACTGAAGTTAAACATGTGCTGAAATCCTCTAATCAATCACATCTTTATCTTGCATCTTCTTGGGCAAGAAGGCCCAACTGCAGAACAGGTTCAAGCAGCTGGAAGCAGAGATGCCAGAGACAGAAGGACTCCCTGTAAGGGCATGAGGTTTGCTGAAGCATTGTCTTGTAACAGAGCACTCAGGGGCCGCTTTTGGTAAGCAAAACTGGTGCTGGGGAATGAACCCAACACAGGCTTAAGGTGCCTGATGCTCACAGGATCAGTGCTGGTGCAAGTGTATATAAGGAGTCAGCTTGTGACACATCTTTGCATACTGCTTGCAGAACTGCTTATGGAGGTAGGACCCTGCCCAATGTATTGCTCATTAAATCTCACTGTATTAAGCACAAATGTGTGTGTGTTTCACCCCAAGAGCTACAATAAGAATTCCCCAACACTTGTTATAGTTTTAAACAGCTTTCCCCCCTCCAAGACACAGACGTTTTGAGTAGCAGTCTCAAAATGCTATTACAAAAAAGTACAAATGAAAAAAATAGTCTATATCATATCAAAATGTTAGATACTATATAATTACCTGCAAATTTTTCCTGCAGATTTAACAAAAATTATTAAATATGCAATCTTTTTTGTCAGTCATAATTATAATCTTGACAAAAGCCCATTTCAATCTCTTCTGTTTGACCAAAAAAATAAAATTACTGGATTCACCTGTTATAAAATAAAAGGCTTTAAATACTCTTCAATGTATTGTTTGAATGACTATATGAAAACTCTCTTGAGGTCTTCTGAGAAAATGAATAGATATGGTCTCTGATAGCCTTATTGTCTAAAAAAATTGTTGTCTTTTTGCAATCTCCTCTTTAGTGTTCCTGCACAGTTTTTATTATAGTGACATGACTTCCAATCTCAGAACTCTCACATTAAAAATTTCATTAAAAAGAATATAAAATTAACATAATTTTGTATAATTTCTTAGTAAAGTAACAAACAAGCCTTTTACTTTCCAAATTTAAGCAATTCCTCCTTACCTGACTAGACTGAGATATGCTGCGGAGCTTTTCATTTTCACGCTGATGTATTGTTGCTTCTCCTCCTTCCTTGGTTCTTTCTAGGCTCCACCCCATGGCCAACATGGTTTTCAGTGATTCTCTGGCAGGCCAACGATAAATTTCCTTTTCCTTTGAAGAAAATAATGTAAAATTTCTCTGTATTTAGCAAGTAGCAAAAACTCAATAAAAATATTCTGTCCTTCTGTATAGACTATCATATGCCACAAAAGTAAACAAAATTTCTATATTATATCTGAAGACATGATATAATTCTTTCTACATGAGAAAGAAGCTTTAAAATACTTGCAATTTTCTTTGGTTTATTCCTAGTGGCATTTGTGGCTGGGATAGCTGGGATAGGTATTACAGACTAACAGCACTCAAGTGAGCTCTGGAGCGATAATGTAGTTTGTATCTGGAAACTTATTCATTGGTTCCTCCAGCCCAAAATAATAAAAAACTGACGGCACTACAAGTGCTATGACGTTAATTAGGCAAGTATGTACATTTGAACACATCAGCATACGAGGCCTTCTTTTAGTCTTCCTATATTTATATCTGTTCACGGATACAGAACATTACTGATCTATACACCTTGTCATATAAATACAGCCATCAATAAAACAAATGGGAAACAGCCTGTATTCCAACACTCCTTTGACAAGTAAAGGTGTCATAGAAAATCTGAAAAGTTACGGTAAAGAAAATTCTGAGTATGTCATATTAAGACTTCTCAAATCAATCAAATGAAAGTATTTCCGTTCTTACCATAAACAAGAATTTTTATGACAGTTACTTAACATGACAGTTTTTATGGAAAGACCCGATCTTTATGTTCAAAAGTTCTAATCTGAGACAATTCAGACAACTGTCTTTTAACTGCTATAATAACAACTCAACCAACAATTTTTCAGCTCCTCTCTGAAGATTTCAAAGCAATTTACAAACCTTGGGAAACTAAACCTTTTGAATCCCTATTGATTTTTGTCATCTCCATTTCCTGAACAGGAAAAGTGTGGTAAAGAGGGACAAATGTAATTGACTCATTTGAGTCACCCAATGAATCATTGTAAAAATATGTAACAGAATTCAAATTCAGTTCACTGTTCTGACAACTATAAGATACTCATGCCTAGTCAAGAAATTCAAATAAAAATGCATTCAAAATAGTTTAAATGTTTTTCCCCATTTTCAACTGAAGCATCTCCTACACTTTCTTTAAATTTTTCTACCATCTTTCTTGAAGACAAAATTGCCTTCAGATATGTTCAATTACAGTTTCACCTAAAACCCAGGAGTTGCTGCCAGTCATTCCTCTCCCATGAAGGCATGAAAACCCTGTGCTATTGATACTTTGTATTCAAATTGGCACAGACCCATGAAGATTGCCTAATGGAAGCAAATTATACAAGACTCTGTGTAAGATTAACTAAACAAACACTGTAGCATATAGATGTTGCTGTTCTTAACTGTAAGAATTCTTTTATCTCTCTTCCTTTTATAGCATGTTTGAAATGGATTTTAAAAAGTACACAAATCAATCTACTTTGTATTAATGCAGCTGAAATTTCTTCTACTACCTTTTCAGTTAAAGTTTTGAAAGGTCTTATTAATGGGTGAGTCTTCATGTTTTCATCCAGTGAAACACCATATTTCCATCCACTATTAGTCTGAAAAAAATAAATATACTGAAATAAGATGAGAACAATATAGATGAGTAATAGCACATTGGCCAATTTAGTTTGTCACATTGAAGTGCTAATCTACGAGTTTCCTCTTTTTGTCCATTTCTCCTCCCCGTTCCGCTGCGGTGGGAGGGGAGGGGTGAGCAAGTGGCTATCTAGTGCTTAGTTGCTGGCTGCTGGGTTAAACGATGACGACCCTTTTTGGTGCCCAGCCTGAGGCACCAAAAAGGAATGCTACTCAGTGCCACAGAAATATCTGTTAAAAAAGCATGCATCCATCTGTGGATACACTGGAACAAAATACATCCCTTACAGATTAGATGACATCTATGAGTAGTAGGTCTTGTGCAACCAGTTCTGAGCCTAATATACATTGGCCCCTTTCAAATGGATTCATGCATTAAGACGGTATTGGCTAAGGTAGAAAAAATGTCTCTATTGTCTGGGAGGCTAAAGTCAGCAACATAGAGAAGAAAATATAACATTAACAGATCAAGCCTCACACAACAATTGTTATTTCTATATAACTGTTCTATAAAATTGCTATTAATTTGTTATTGTTATAACAAATTACTTAACCCCTTCTCTATTTTTTTCCTTGAATGAAAGAGGTTTAAAATTCATACGTTGGTTGCGCAGGTTACTCATATTCAAACACCTCCAACATAGTTATCAAAAACCACAACTCCATTAAACTTCATTTTGCTCAGATTTAACTCCAAAAGTTATATTTATTAACACCAAAATCTATTTGCAAAATGTAACACTAAAAAGGCCTTTATTAAATGTTTCACTGTAACATTAAAAAGATATTTAAAATCATTTAGTATATATTGTCTTATAGCTATTTTGAAGTAATGAAACAAAAACACAACACAGTGACAGAGCACTTGGAAAATTATAGGTGAAATCAATATATAACAATCTTCTTTAAGCTAAAAAGAAAATAAGCTATAACTACATTTTCTAAAATAAACAAAAGGACATTAGACTTCCCAGGTATTCTCTTAGATCATAGAGCTGCTGCAGTAAAATTCAGTCTCTGACTCCCAGTCAAAAACTATCAGTACTGGGCAAAATGAAATGAAGTTCTGTATATTCTTACTCAAAAAAAAAGAGAAACCAAACCAAACCAAGTGCCCCCTTTTCATTTCCCTCAAATCTTTGTCCTAATATATTATGGGCACTTTGAAAAAGTGACAAATCTCAATGAATTCTCCTCAGCCATTGTCATTTGTTCCTCTTTTCCCCTAACCTATTTCTTCCACACACCCCTAAAAAAATATGCAGGCATTAATGCATTCTGAACAAGGGCCTATCAGTTAAACTGTCCAGTTTTTCTTTCAGTTTCACCCCAGGTATTATTACTAGTCCTTTTCTGACAGTTGCCAGTCTTGAAATAGTTCCTACCTTATCAAAGGCCCATTTGTCATGCGAATGTTCAGCATACCTGCTGACAATATACTCCAACTTTTCAGGAAGTACAAGGCTGTAAACAAAGGGGAGTATGGTCATTCAATCATAAGTTACTGCAGTCTGATTTATGAAAAAAATGTCGGTACAATATAGCACTAACCAAAGTGCTTCACCTCTAGATGAAGGCAAGGCATTTGGCTCTGCAATTCCGTTTTCTTTAGAAGAAATGTCACAAAACAATGCAGAGCTAGAATGGCTTTTACAGGGAATCTTCAAATACATAACAGTTGCACTTGTTAGCAACTGAAATTACAAGAAAAAAAAAAACCTGCTTCACCATAACCTACAGGTATTTTTCTTGGTAATTCTTAATATAGGATATTAATAGTATGGCTGTTTCACATTGCATAATGATGGAGGGGTAAGACTTTAATAGCAAGAATCAACTAGTGATCCCCAGTTCTTGAATATAACAGTGTTAGAAACCTGTATTTTAAAAGCACAAGAGTACTAGGAAGGCCAGATCTCTATTAAATCATGACACACGATCTGCTTATTTTGCCATATCAGGTTGCTACAAATCAATTCTCAAAACCAAGTGAAGATTTTTATAAAAATTTGGCAATAGGCCAATTAAATCACTTACCAGGTTTTGATGACCTTCTATCATTTGTCATATACACACTCTAAATAACGACAGTACCAAACAGGTGTGTATATATCCCAAACATTTGAACTATTAGGTAATAGGGTACAGAATCAGTATAGCATTTACTGTGAATTCTGCAGATGTAATGTGGAAATACTTAACATCTGTACAGTGCTGAGAAGAACAAGTCTTACAACTGGTAAACAGGATATGTTGCAGTGAAGTATTTGGCAGGAGGAAGCAAAAATCCCTACACTACTTCTCAAAGGTACTAAAATCATTAAAAAGTCCATCACCAGCCAACTCTCCCTACACAGGAGAAAAAATTGTTAATAAGAAATAGCATAAAAATATTTAGAAAAGGAAATCACTGTGATTTATGCGACTCACTTTGCTGTGCTGACAGGTTTCGGATCAAAATTTCCTTCTGGATCCAGTGAAGTCTGCTTTTCCAAAGTTGACCTAATTCGTGTATCTAAATAATCAGGTGGCAAGGCACCAGCTATAGCACTTAGACAAGGCAAAGCCATTCGAAAGAGCTCTGGATCATACTTCTGCAGGAGAGATAGGAACTGGTTGGACAGTCCAATAGAAAAACATGCAAAATGTTAGTGAAAACCAAGCAGCCATATGTACAAATATTAGAAGACACAAACAAACAGTGAAGCACATTTAAAAACAAAGCACAGAGCAAAATTATTACTGCATGACATCTGTTTTTCTTGATATCAACTTGGTACCTTTTTAAGACTACTCAAATTAACATACGAGTATGCTGACACTTGTGTAAGTATACACAATACAACTACGACTCTTAAGCTTTCTTTTGGCCACTAAGGTCTACATGGGAAGTGTCAAGGGTTGTTTGCCTAGTCATAGAGGTATGGTCATCTATAAAATAGTGTCTTAGTTCTAAAATGACTAATTGCTACCTCAACTGCAAAAGGCATTGTCATTTCTTCCTCTTTTCCCCTAACCTACTTCAGTTTAAAACATGCTGGTTAAAGGAAATTGGTTTTCACTGTAGCACAGAATCACAGAATCACAGAATAGTAGGGGTTGGAAGGGACGTCTGTGGGCCATCTAGTCCAACCCTCCTGCCGAAGCAGGGTCACCTACAGGAGGCTGCACAAGAACTTGTCCAGGCGGGTCTTGAATATCTCCAGAGAAGGAGACTCCACAACCTCCCTGGGCAGCCTGTTCCAGTGCTCCGTCACCCTCAGAGTCTTCTTCAGGCTGAACAAGCCCAGCTCCCTCAGCCTTTCCTCGTAGGAGAGATGTTCCAGTCCCCTCACCAGCCTTGTAGCCCTCCGCTGGACTCTCTCCAGTAGCTCTTCATCTTTCTTGAACTGGGGAGCCCAGAACTGGACAGAGTACTCCAGATGGGGCCTCACTAGGGCAGTGTAGGGGGGAAGGAGAACCTCCCTCGACCTGCTGGTCACACTCCTCCTAATGCATCCCAGGATCCCATTAGCTTTCTTGGCAACCAGGGCACACTGCTGGCTCATGGTCAACCTGTCGTCCACTAGGACACCCAGGTCCCTCTCTGCAGAGCTGCTCTCCAGCAGGTCAGCCCCAAGCCTGTACTGATGCATAGGGTTGTTCCTCCCCAGGTGCAGGACCCTGCATTTGCCCTTGTCAGTTCACTATTTTTCAAAATTGTCCTGTTAAGAGGTGGACTAGCACATTTGCTCTTCTAGTCATTTTATCTCTGGAAAGAACATAGAAGTACTTGACATATAAAAACACAAGGTGGATCTACATTTGAAAAATCTATCCTTAACAACTTGCCACGAAAAATATTCAAGGTCAATTGTTACACACTAGATTATAAAAAACCTTTGCTAGAGGAAGTAGCAGTAGATCACTGTAGGCCAAGGTTCTCCTTCCAGCTTTCAAACAACATTCTTAGTATGCTTAGGACTCTATCTTTCAGATTCCCCGTCTGTAAAATGTGCATGATAATATAGCTTTAAAAGGCTTTAAATCTACTGATGAACACTACAGTGCAAGAGTCTGATGTTATTATAATTACTTAATAAAGTTTTACTCAGACAGCACATGTACCTTTTTGATATCACAACACAGGCACCAGTCAAGCACTTACAGGAAAAGAATTTTACACTTCAAAAATATTGCTCTTGCTTCATTATTAGAAATAGAAAGACTCTATGCTTCCACAAATCTGAATGACCACTTTGTATCAAGAAAATGCTGAAGAACAATTTTAAGGTCCATTGAAAATACTTGCTGATAAAACTGTATATTTATATCACAGAAAGCAGAATGACTAAAGAGAGGTAAATGTCACTAAAATCAAATACAAATAAGGCTTAAAAAGCCATTTCAGAATAACACAGAGACCATGTTCCTTTCTATGCTATAAATGAGAATGCCTAGAGAAGCAACCATCTAAATCTGTTGATTAGATCTGGAACATAAATTCAATGAGATGCAATGAACAAATCTGTTATTGTCCCATAGCGAGAACCTGATTTTTGAGCCCAATCAAGTACAAAAAGTATTTACTCAGTAAGGAATTTCTCCTATCAGAATAGCAACTTTTTGTTACTTGGAGAAAAAACAAGTAAGTGAAAAAATCTCAAGATCACACTCTGGAACAGGAAAATGGAAAAATGTCTATTTCTAAGAATGTTGCATCATATTTCTTAAGCTGGGCAATAACCAGAAAACTAACAAAATACAAGTGTATGTTTGAAAACAACGTAAATTTACTGTGCATGCACCAACAATTTGACAAGCTTATATATACATTTCGTAAAATTAATTTATGTCAGTAAAAAGAATTTTTAAAAGTTTAGTAAACCTAAGATAGGAGGACAGACAACACCGACTTGTTAGTGCAGCAAGCAATCCGCCTCATTACTAGTGTAAGGCTATACGGGTATATCAGGACAAAGACTTACCAATTTTATTAGCTTGGAGAGAATCTTTAAAGATTCAGTACTCAGTTTTTCATTAGAAAGTTACTTCATTAAAAGCATTCATTGCCATATCACAGAATCATAGAATGGTAAGGGTTGGAAGGGACCTTAAAGATCATCTAGTTCCAATCCCCCTGCCATGAGCAGGGACATCTTCCACTAGACCAGGCTACTCAGAGCCCCATCCAACCTGGCCTTGAAATGGCCTATATCTCCCATACTAGGTGAAAAAAAAGTCAAAAGGGGAACTTTCTGCACTTGGCACGGCATATTATCATTGTAATGCTTTTATAGTCATCCCATACTGTCATGTGAATTACAGTCATTACCTTATGAGACAAGGAATCAAATATTCCCCAGAAAAGTTTTTCAGTTAAATGTAATTCTTCTTCCACTGCAATTCCATAGCTTCCCATTCCTGAAGGCAGACAATAATATTTCCAGCACTGCTCATAGTGATTTGTCAGAAGCTATATTTTCAAGAAAATAAAAATGCATATAAAACACTGGTATTTAACAAAATAATATACTGGTTAGTGAAGTCTGAACTGCCAGTATCTGTTTAAACAGTTATACGAGTATTATTATTTATTTCTGTCTCTTCATTTATAATGGCTCATAAAAATGGTGGTTTTTTTCTTTTTCTTTCTGGGAGGGCAGTAGTGTTCATGCTGTGAAAGTACAAAGCCTGTATTATCCCCAACTGCTGCTGCGGGGTTCTCAGTGATGACAGTGAGTAGCAAAATTACAGAATTTCAGGACAGTCACCATTTGAGTACAGATTAGCTTACAGGATAAAAACAGAGGCAATAAATGGGTATAAAACAGGATGTGACAGATACTCGTAAAAAATTTTACAAATTCAAACTGATTTTACTTTTGTCATTTGTAGTTGATGGCCTCAGTATTACTCAAAACATTGCAAAAGACAGCTGCAGTACACCCTTTTAGCCATGCCTGCTCATCTCTAGAAAAACCCGTGGAAGGAACTATTGTACAGACAATCTGTAACATACCAGTTTAAGAGCTAGTGCTTGTGATTATTGGTGCACTTTCCACACGATTTCAAATCTCTACTGATTTCTTCTTTAGAACTAAAAATTCCCATCTCATGGGAAATTCTGATATTTCTTTTAGCATCAGACTAGGATCTTGACATTTTAATTTTTCCTGCAAATTTGTTAGGAAGGGAATATAATAATTAAAAAAACAAATTAAACATTCCCTTTTTGCCACACTTTTGCTCCAAAATTACTGATGCTCCAGAACATGTCTGTGAATCTGGCAGCTCTGCTTTAGAGTATAACAGAATTTCAATTCTGCTATATAAAGACCCGTAGACCTAAGATCAGGCCCTTCTATCCCAGCAGGAACATGAGGCAAATCTGACAGAAAAATTCTAAATAGAAATTATTTATCATCTCACAATTGTAATTCTCTATTTACAGAACAAGAATGTGGGTAAGACATCAGTTAAAGATTGCTCAAAAATAAAAGGCGAGTTCTGTTCCCTGTATGCTATTCTCTGTAGACTTCACTCAAAATTTATTCCTGGACTATGCATCCTACCAAGTTATTATAGTTCATACAGCAGAAGAAGAAATATCAAGATAACTCTAACATTTAATATGATACCTTCAAATACTCTTTTGCTGAAGCAGTGAAAAAGTCAACATTTCACTGAACAAAACTGCATAATCAATTTACTATATGCTGTTTGCATGAGGCAAAATTTCATAAAAACTTTAATCTTTATACTAATTTTGAAAGACTTTATAAAACAATAACATTATTTTCAGTTCAGAAGTCATTTCACATTGCTTCACCCTGCCTCATTATGATTTTGAAAACATGACGACGACAGAAGATTGTGAAGTAAGTTTTGTGCCGAATGCATGTACAGAAAGTAAAGCATTTACCTTGAGAGGCATTTTACAGTATTCATTGAGTAGAGGCACGTCAAAAACCAGCCTTCTCAACAGCTGCTGTAACATAGAGGGCCGTAAGTGGCTGTAATTTAAGAAAACGGACTTCTTAGTAAAATTCATACAGTCCAGTGAAAATGAAATAAAAATTGAAATAAATTTGCATATTGGAATTCAAATCACTCATTAAAAGTATTTTGAAAACCAGCGGTAGGAGCTTAAGGAATCTCACTCTGCCTCATCTACATATAGAAGAATATAGCAGAGAAAGATGCGCTGTGCTACTTCTGGACTCTCTTCAGTGAACAGACAATGGGTACGATTGTGCCATATGACAGCAGAGGGAAGGGTGCTGGATTTTTTTTCAGAATACACAGAGGGGATAATCTAAGCAAAAGCAACAGAACATTACCCTAACAGAATGGTTTCTGATATGACACTAAAAAGCAACAAAACACTCCTAACTGAAACTGATCTGGGAAATACATCATGATTTTTCTTATAAGAAATAAATCTCAACTGGAAGACTGAATAAATCACCCATCATTTATTTTCTAGCTATTTAATTTTAGTGATCTATAGACTCAAAATCAATGTAATAATGTTTCTTTCATATCTACCCCTCAGTATCACTTTTTCAGGCTGCAGATTCCCGGTCTACTAAGCTGTTCCAAAGGAGTGTAATAATTTTTTATGTTGACCCCTCTCTTGTTAGGTTTTCTGAATCTTTTCCACTTCGACTGTATCCTCTTTTTGGCAGGGGTCCAGCGCTATGCACAAACTAAAAATGCATACTGCATTACTAATTTCACAGCCCACTGCACAGACAAGTAGCACTACAGTTTATGACAAAGATCAAGAATTGTGAGTCAGTTGGCAAACTTACATTTCAATTCTTGATATAACATCAGGGCTCAGTTCAGTTTTAGGATCAGTTTTAGGATTTGAAGACTGGTAGGTAGTTTTTCTTCTTTTTTTTTTTTTTTTAAGAAAAAACCCTACAGCCAAGGTTCTTCAAACCACAATCAGAAATACAAACGTGTCGATCCCTCAAAGCCCCAACATACACTCACTGTCAGACTTGTCAGAATATTTTTGGTAATTACTGGGGTTTTGTTTTTACAAATAATCAGAAATTATCATGTATCAGCATAAAGCTCATACCAACATGACAGCTTGTATAATGCAGTACCTATAATGGAAAAATCAAATCTATTTTCTCTTGGAAAAAAAAATCCTGTCATACACTCTGGTCATTTATTTCATGTAAGAAGAAAATAATCTTAGTTCCACATAATACACAAAGAAAGAAATTATTATAATACATACACTGCACAAAAGAAATAAATTTGTACACAGTTATTATACTTACTGGCAAATAGCAAGCAGGCATTCTTCAATAGTATCCCTTTGTGCTTTTGTAAGGGAACGTCCCTTCGATAACCTATATATTGTGTGAAGCATGGAGTCAACAAGAGAGGCGTGATGCTCTGTTCCGGAAAAGAGGGGAGCACATCTTTTGAGTAATGGAAACACAGCTGAGCAAATATATCTATTTAGTGCGAGAGCTGCCTCTGTGGTACTCAGAGAAACCTGTATGAAGCAGTAAATGATTGTTAGTATCATACTGAATAAAGGTTGCTAAATATGAAGTCTATCAAAGATAATAATGAAATACTCTTTAGGTCCCCTTTGTGGTTGGGTGCTAACATGATATTCCCAGTATACACACCAGGACAAAACCTATGTTTTTTTGAACTTCAGAAAATCCAGTTCATCCACTTATCTCCTGTCTCTTGCCCCACTGCACTCTGAATCAACAGAAGCAAAAAGAATATGCAGCTTACTTCTTTAAACAGTTTCGCAAAAAATACAAAGCATTAAGTAACACTTTTAATCTCATTTAATTTCTTCATACCTATACATATATGAATTTTCAGTGTAATTCTTGGAAGCACACATGAAATAAAGGTAATCATTAGGCCTATTACAGTATATCCAATGTACTTACTGTATAATTAATGTAAGCCTGTATTAAAAGTTTTTAAAGTACTGTTGCTTCACAAGGTACTACTGAACGTTTACGATCAGAATTAAGCACTATAATAGTAACTGAATTATTCATGTTTCTAGCAGGCCTATACTACCCATTTTTTTAAAAAAGCCGTTTTGACCTGAAATTCAATTTATTACAATTACAGAGCCACTGTATTCAGCCACTGCACTTAAACTGCATAGTGAAATACTCACTGTATCCAAGGAGGCAGAGGCTCTTAAATCTGGTAAAAATCCAACTTCCAGTAGGTGAAGGAGGAAGCTTTGGTCCTTAATACCATAGACGCGGTCCAAGAAGAGTACCATGGGTGCTTTATGATCAGGACAGAAATTTGCAGACATGTCTGGCTCATTTACTGTGCCATCTACACAAATAGATAATGCAATTTTTAATAGTAGATAATTGATAAAACAAGAAGCACCAAGACAATGAAAGACACTGTAATTACATTTAATGTTTAAAATCACAAGTTCAATGAAAATTATATTCCTGTTCAGTTTTCTTGTATGCTGAAAAAGAATACTAAGTTTTTATTATTTCAAAACCCCTGTAACTGTGAAATTTGTTAATCTTTCACTCTTAAATGAAAGCTTAAGAATGAATGGTATTCTGTTTCATTACTATTACAGAGAATGTTTATGTGGTAAAATTAAAGATAAATATTACTGCATATATTAAATATATAGTAACTGTGAAGTCAAAGAAGGTTAAGAATTTTAATTTTTGTCTCACGTAAACTAGACTAGAAAGAACATAGAATCCACTAGGTGCGGGGGAGCACCTTCTTCAGATCTGGACAATCCCAAACCGAGTATGTCTGGTTTTCACTTCCTCTGAAAAGGCCAGGGAAGAAATAAACAGCACAATTCCAAGAAACAGGAAAGGCAATTAAAATGCAATGTGCATGTGCAACATTTTAATCACACAAGGATGAACAGGACTCTACACTGAGTCATCAGTGACCTGGAGAAGGCAGCAAACAAAGGAGCCTAACAGTCTGTATACAACACTAAATTCTTCTGTAAGGTTAAATCACTAAGAAAACTGAGTGGACAAAATAGAGACAGCTGCACTTCAATGCAGACAGCTCTAAGCTGCAGAGAAATAAGACACAGCTACATGACGCGGAGCTTGGAACTGACATTAAATACATCCTGAGGTCATCAATGAAATTCTGTGAAACCATCAGTGTGTAGCAGCAACTAAAAAAGTCAACAAGATGTCTGGCACTATCAGTAAGGGATGTTCAGAATAAGAGAGAAGGCATCATTTTACTGCTATATAAAATAGAAAATCAATATATAAACCAAGCCATTGTGTGCCCACATTATCAGTACAACCTGCTCACGTCTTGTGTACATCCCACAGCTGTTTACCACATCTCAAGACTGCAGAATAGAGACAGTGTAGGTATAGAGAAGGGCAACTAAAATGATTCAAGCAATGGAGCAGTGATGATGAAAGACTACGAAAAGCTGAGATTCTTCAGTCTGGCAAAACGAGGACTGAGAAAGGATATAACTGAGATTTAGAAAATTATTCATGTTCTCAACTCATTATGTTCTCAACAAATTATTCTCAACTCTGACAAAACTGCTTTATTTTACACCTGAAGGCCTATGTGCCAAGAGATTTTTATAAAAAGATTAAATGGTCTAATGAAAGTACTGAAGTTACCTTTGTTGACTGTTGACAGCTTTAGTGGTATACTTATAATCCCAACCAAATCTTCAGTTGGCACTAGAGATCGAAGGATTGACCTGATTCGAATAGCTTCCCCTTTTCCACTTTGAATAAGCTGTTAGAAAAAGTTTATCAATTAAGAAATTCAGTAGTGAGGAACATAAGAAGAATTTTCTCAAAACACTTTTATTAATATGTTTTTTTTCAAACAGTGGAAAAAACTGCACAGAAATTTCATTTATCCCAGCACTTGAATGGAGTTGCTGATTTTCAGCTGATCCTGCTTTTGAATCTGTCCTAAGTTTGATATAATACCAACAGTTTCACAATATTATAAACTCCCAATAACACATAAAACCCTATGTGGAGAAGATTCCTAAACCAATCAAATAGTGATGAAACTGAAAATTTCTGAAAGACTCACGTACTTACAGAACCTACAGTGCTAGGTTTTGAGCTTGTCTCTTTATGCTATGAACAGATGCAAACCTGTCTGATGTATCTACACATTTTGCTATTATTTCTATGTGCAGTAAAATTTTCAAAACGCATTAACAACAAGGTCACCAATTCCTTTAAGTTCTAGCAGAAATCAGGTATTCACAATCTGTGTCTCTGGAAATGTCTTCCAGTAATTTTCTTAACATGAAACTACTATGTCTGGCAACAGACAGCTACATACAGCTTTATAGCTAATAAAGTCAATAGCTTTGGGAATAGTAAGTACAGAGGCTGCAAGCCGAATTTCTTACTTTTTCTTGTATTGAGATACATGTTGCATTTTCAGCTGGATTTATGCTACTAAAGAATTTTAAATACTGACAAGCAAAGGTCTTGCGTGTGGCTGTTACAGGCATTATAGTCAAAACAGTTATTTTACACATTTTTCCATGTATTCATGTGGTATTGATGCCACATTTCAACAGCGCACACAGAAGTAGCTCTGCATCACATTCTTGTGAAAATTATTTTTGTGGCTTTTTAGAGAATAGTAAAGGGCCAGTTTCAGAAATTTCATTAGTCGTAAAATGCGCAACACTAGTAGGTCATCTTTGCCTTGATACCATAGTCATACAAAAATTTTCAATATTTTAGATAACTAAAAAAACATAAGGAATCAAAAGAGCACGATTCTTTATAAACAGGTTGCAGAGAACTTGTTTGTCTAGATACAGTGAGATGCAATAAAGTCCACCTTCTGAAGGGAAGAGGGCTTTGAACAGAGAACGGTTTAGACAGGTACAGCGCTGTTCATAAGTCTCCTACATTTACTGACCAAGTGACAAAATGAACTTACATGCATTTCTGGTGCACAGCGTCCAAGTAAATCTATGAGAGCTGAGTAAAATGACATGATTGCATTGCCCATGTGTACAATCTCCTCCTCATCGTCATCACTAAAAGGTAAAGAGTATCAGTGAACAGTGAGTATTTTTGCTAATGTAAGTTTATAGCTCTTCTCTGGAGCTAGATCCATGATCCAGAGACTATTAATCAGATACACTAATTTCCTCTGGCTCTGGATTACAGGTTTTGTATCCCTAGAGTAACCATTCAATTGAACAGTAATAGCAGACTTCACATGAGCCTTCTAACTTCCTCTTTCACTTCAGCTTAGCTTCATTCCACAACAGCCTTCTCCTTTGCTTTGTCCTTCAGGCTTCTTCTCTTCTGTAACTCTTATTCCACTTTTATCTAGCTTATGCTTTATGAATTCCATATGACAGCTGCTTGTGGGTGCAAATCTCTAATGCTCTATGTTTGTATATTGCCTTACACAACACGGCCTATTACCCACATATTGCAAGCATGATTAAACCAGCTATTAAATCATGACTTGCCAAACAAGCATTCACATTTACTTACCCTTCTCTTTTATAAGCCTGGGAGGGAAGGTCACGAGCAGGATTCTCTGAGATCCTGATAGCTTCCTGCATAGCTGCCAGCAAACCATTTCCTCCTTCTCCCCTAAGGTCTGGTCCAAAGCACTCCGGCCGTCGAATAAGGAGCTTGACAACAACACTTGCGTTTTCCTCAACACTTTCACCTGAGGACCAAAAAACACTACACATACTTTCTCCCAAAAGGCATCCTTAAGCCAGAAGACAACCGCATTTTCCCCTAAACTTCACAAAACATAAAACAAACTCTCATTCTTATTTTTGAGAACAAAAATTTATCAAGTTGGCAGCACTGGATGTGCTTTATCAAAAATATACCATGGTTTAAACGTGACAGTGTAGACTCACCTCGCAGTTTTACTACACTCAATCTAGAAAAGGTCACTTTAGCAGGTTAATCTACTTTTTGCAGCAAAAACTAGTCTCTCTGGTGTAAAGGCTAATTGTCCCAAGAGGCAAGAAGTCTGCTATTGGGGAGGGTGGGAAGGAAGTTTTGACTCCAGCGAATCCCCCCCAGCCTCTCGCTCTCTCCCCTCTCCTGCCGGACATGAAGAAAATAGAAGGAACGTGTGACAACTCATGGAGCAAGGTAACGTCTGCCTAGTAGAGAAAGCAAAAGCTATGCATGCAAGCAAAGCAAAAAGACAAATTCATTCACTGCTTCCCAGACAGAGGTTTAGTCAGTTCCTAGAAAGCAGGGCCTCAGCACACGTGGTTGTTTGGGAAGACAAGTGCCTTAACCATAAATGTCCCCCTCTTCCTACTCCTTTCCCTGAGCTTTTATTGCTGAGCAGAACGTCACGGTCTGGGATATCCCTTTGGTCAGTCTGGGGCAGCTGTCCCAGCTGTGTCCCCTCCCAGCTTCTTGCCTACCCTGAGCGGCGAAGGAGCAAAGTGGGAAGAAAAACCAAGAAAGCCTTCACACTGCACAAGCACTGCTCAGCAACAGTCAAAACCTTGGTATGTTATCCTGTTTTAGCCATAAATGAAAATCGCAGCACTACAGGGGTTGCTATGAAGAAAGTTAACTCCATCCGAGCCAGATTTAGTACAGGGCATGAGAGTTATTTGATTTTTAATGGGTTAACTGAAGAAAGGAATGTTGCTTAACATTATGTCCTTAGTACTGCACCAGTGGAAAACTCATCTCAGAGTTTGATCTTGTCAATCTGACTAAAGAATAACAAATTGTATTTTTGGTTAAATATACCTAGAGTAAAATCTCCTGATTGTTTCCACTGCATGTTTAAGTATTTGTTAAGTATTCTGCTTACTATTTAAAGCCTGAAATGGAATACTTCATCACAAAAATCACATTAAAATCACTTGTAAAGGTCATGGCTTGCCTGACACAAACCCATTTATAACAGCTTTGTGTGGAAAAATGTACGTATCTTTGAAAATGGAAAAGAGTGGGTTTAACTACTGTAATCAATTCAGTACAGGTAGACAGGTTGTGATATAGATACTTGCTGAATAAAAGTCATTAGGAAAAGGAAACTTCATATAAATTAACTCTTTGTATGTAACTAACGACTTCGTGGACTGCAGCTAGAGGCACGTGGAAGCATGACAGGAATAATACTTGGGTCAAAAGCTCAGCTTATCTTTAAATGCAACTGTTTAGAAATTGACAGTGGCTACCTTACAAGAATATTAATAATCTGTATGAAGATACGAAATTAATGGGACATGTAGGAAGAAAATAAATTACAGGAAAAGAAACAGTTCACTGTTAATGAACCTGTGATGTCAGTAGCTTGGATCATCCGTATCTAGACTTTACATGCAAACTGCAACACTAAACCAGTACAGAAACTCAGGTAGTGAGTTTATATTAAACTGAATGCAGCAACTTCACCAGCCACCAAAAAAGTAGGATTAGAAACTGTGGTTTAGCTGAGAGCAGCAGTGGTGTTACCAGGAAGTCAGAGTCATCGGAAGGCAATGGTAGGTGAGATAACTGGGACTGTCTGGCTCTACAAGCAGCAGCTGAACACTTTAAACATGTCAGTCTTGCATTTTTCCCACAGAAAAAAACATTGATATGGAACACAGACTGGCAGGAAATGGCCTCACGTTGCACCAGGGGAGGTTTAGATTGGATATTAGGAAAAATCTCTTCACTGACAGAGTTGTCATGCACTGGAACAGGCTGCCCAGGGCAGTGGTGGAGTCACCATCCCTGGAGGTACTTAAAAGATGTGCAAACGTGGCAGTTTGGAACATGGTTTACCCATCGTCTTGGCAGTGTTTACAGTTTACAGTTTACAGTTGGACTCAATGATCTTAAGGGTCTTTTCCAACCTAAATGATACTATGATTCTATACCCTAACTAGTGACTTTGCACATATTCTATTTTTATTTTTTTTTCTTTGTCCTTTTCATTCATCTTATTTGCATACTGCAGGCAAAAAGAAGATCTTAAAGCAGATCTTAAATCTTAAAGTCAACAATTCTAGCTTCTAAGTGAAGATTTTAAAAATAATGAATTAAGTGAAATCTAATCTAAAAAAAAATTCACTACATACCTTTCTATAGATTTACAATCATCAGAACATGCACAACATTCCACTACAGCTATCAGATGCTCCTGAAAACTTGCATGTTTCACGTATCTTTTGAGGAGGCAAATACAAAACCCCCTTGAAAATTGTAAGGGGCTGTGTGAATCCACATTGCAGAATCAAATAGCAAATACAAATAAAATTATAAAATGTAATTAATTTTTAATTTAATAAAAGCACTACCAATAGTTTCGAGCGGCTCATTTCCAACACAGTTTAGATCTAGATGTTAAAAATTTATCTTAATTCAGCCTGTTTTTGGCACACCAGTGACAGCTTTGTGAGGAGTGTAATTTAGAGTGAAATGAAGCACTTATCAGCAAAAGCCCTTTGCAGGTATTTTTCATTTAGAATGTGCAGGTATTTTTCATTTAAAATGTGCAGGAAAAAAAACTTACTTTATGCACAGAGCTCAAATTAATCTTCAATATTGCTCTACTGAGGTCAATAAAAGTTTATCGAGAATTAATTAGTCTACATTTTCAATTTACAATTTCTTGTACACTGCTTTTGCCACTAGGATCTTATTCTGACCTTCTCTGTATGTGTATTTCATTTCCATATCCTTTCTGATGGGATACCAAACTGATGAAAATAGTTTTAATATATTGCAGCCTGCTCTAATTTACCTCACAGGCCACGTTAATGAAGAATTTCGCTTGAAGAAAGTTTTGCTTATTCCAACGATTCATTGGCCAGAATTAAAAATTCATTCACGTGTTTACAAGTATGACTTTGTTGCTTTTACCTCAACAATGCAAATATTTTACTAATTCATATTTGCAATTTTCCTCTCAAGCCAAAGACACAGAGAAATCTGTAATCTGATTTTCGAAAGTGCTGTCTCCCAAACTGTCACACTGAGAAGGTTCAAAACCCCAACCATAACTGTTTTTCAGAAAAAAAAGCAGCTGAAACAATTGAAACTAAAACTTAATTCTGATGACTAGCAGTCCATCCAGCAAACTCTACTCTTCATTCTAAATCACAGAATCACAGAATGTTCGAATGTTAGGGGCTGGAAGGGACCTCTGTGGGTCATCCAGTCCAACCCCCTGCCGAAGCAGGGTTGCCTACAGCAGGACCGCGTCCAGGTGGGTCTTGAATATCTCCAGAGAAGGAGACTCCACAGCTTCCCTGGGCAGCCTGGGCTCCGTGCTCCGTCACCCTCAGAGTGAAGAAGTTCTTCCTCATGTTCAGACGGAACTGCCTGTGCTTCAGTTTGTGCCCGTTGCCCCTTGTGCTGTCTCTGGGCACCACTGAAAAGAGATGCTCCAGTCCCCTCACCATCCTCGTAGCCCTCCGCTGGACTATGACAAGTAAGATCAAAGTTATCTAACTGTACAGAGTACTGTTAACATGTATTCATAAAATCAGCAAAGGAAAACACACACTTAATGACTACTTGTTCTACATTTCTTACAGTAGTTTGTCAAGTGAGTTTAGCAGCTCGCTCAATAGCTACAGGCTTATCAACTAATGAACATACTTCAGGTATGTTTACTGAACTGAACAGTAAATATGTTTACTGTTTCTGTTTCACGAATTATTTACTAGTTTCAGACCAATAGTATGTGAACAGAACAATCAAAATCTAAAAATTAGACTGTTTAAAATTATTTCCTTTCTGGCTGTCCCTAGCTGTCCTTTAAAACACTTTCCACACTGGCAGACCTGACAGGTGGTGAACAGACAAGTCTTTCAGTCTCACCTAATCTCTAATCGAAACTAATGGTTTGATGAAAAAAAATCCACATGAACTGGAGGTCGCTTTTTGTTTAGTAGCATTCAGATAATGTAAATTTGAAGTTAGGGTATTTGTTTCATAAATGTCGAAAGGAAATTGCCCACAGAAGACAGCATAAGATAGTGATCAAAGGAGAAGATGTTTTCTTTTCTTATGATATCAGATTTAAGGTACACAGTTAGGGTGCTTTACAAACTCTGATCCCTCAGAACTATGCAAACATGTGACCCATTGGAAATTTGCTTTCTGTAGTGCAAAATGACTTAATTACAAACCTCTGAATCTCCCAGTGGTATAGTGGCCAAGAGAGATCTAAAATCAGTGCTCACTGGTTATGTTTATAATGAGCATACATATGTGGTATACGTAAATACCACAATTTACTTGCTGAAGGAATTCCTAACATCATTTTCTACCTTAATAGGTTACTCTATGAAATTATGCAAGTTGCAAAAAGAGTAAGGAAAAAATGCAACTAACTATGAAGATTTAAAAATTACAATAAGCAGCATACACCAATACTCTTGTATTTGTAAGGAGAACAGTATGCATTAACCTCTCTTCATCCATTAACACATTTTTATGGTTAGGAGGGTAATTTTAAGGAAACCTTTTGATGGAATTTGGATGCCAAGAAATTACACTTACTGTTAACAAAAACTGCAAATCTTAAGAATGACAGGTAACGTTCACCCTCTATTGGATTCCATCCAATGTCTGGATATCCTTTAGCCAGCAACACTGGACAACTCTGCAGGCCACAACCTGCCAGGTAGGTAACAACCTGCAATACAGAAGCATTCATTTATTCATGCGTTTGCAAATGAATTTCTAAAAACAAGTGTGAAACAAAATGAACATAGTCTTTTTTTTTAATAACAATTTTTATACACTAGGTGCTTCACCTGAGAAACTACCAACATCACTCTTAGTTTCTAATTCTTGCTTTTGATGATACTGAAAAAATTTAAGCACTTTAGTTCTGAAGTTACCTAATTATATGATGACACAACAATACAACAACATGAACAAATATGGAATGTGAAAAGTAGAATAAAATATTGTGGAATTCAGATCTTTTTTTACAGTACATAAACAACAGATAGAATACTATTTAATAACTTTAATAATCACATCAATGACCATGTATGGCTAATTTGCTACAACAGCAAAATAAATATTTCATCAGAAGTGTATTTAGTGTAATTCCAATTTTAATAGACAGGCAAAGAATTACATTTTTCAGAAGACTGATAAATATCAGTGAACAGTTTTAAGAGTCTGAAACCAGAAAGATTAAAATTCTTGGTAATACGTAAATTCCTAATGCAGCTTTTCTTATCAAGGGGAGCATCTTTAAGAGAAATCTTTGAGAAATTATGACTAATTTCATTAATTATAGTAAACTGAATTTCTGAAACATGTACAGAATGATTTCTCAATCATTTAAAATGAAATTTGCAGATAACTTCACAGATGTGATTTTTGTTTTTATTTAAAATACACAAAGGAAAACATATGAACATAATTATAGTACTTCAATCACACATTCACACATTTGCAGTAAAAAAAGATCAAATTTGCAATTGAAAAAGTTCAAAAGTTGTCTGTATGTAATTTATTTGCTTTGAACACAGGCTTTATAGCATAAACTTTATTCACACAGAAACACGATCATTCTGTGATAGGTTATGTACGCCACATTCATCGAACTGATAGTTATACAGTATTTGTTTTTTCTTGTTATGCAGTATATAGATTTATTTTCTGAATAACATCCATATAGTGCACTAGATAAATTTCTTGACTCACCAAAGTTAATGTATTCCAGCCAGTACATTACCATTCTTACAGCTAAAATGACTGACGAATTTGGGAGGCCCACTCTGAGACGTATACAGCCTGATTTTTCAGCATAAAATACAGTGTATGTTGCAGCTGATATCTGTTACTGTTTGAACATTCAGCACTTGTACGGTGCCAAGTATTCCAAGGTAAGATATCAGTAAATGAGGAATATGCAGTTAACGGTCAACAGTGAAATTCAGTTTAAGTGACTTGCCCTACAGTACTGTCCATGAAATACGAGACAGTCACTGATGGCGTTCCAGTCACTAGTGGTGTATCCCAAGGGTTGATACTGGGGCCAACACTGTTTAATATCTTTATTAATGACAAGACAGAGTGCACTCTCAGCAATTTTGCAGGTGATACAAAATTGATAATTATTCTTCATTCTACCTTTATCTAATTAGGATATCGCTGTGCTCTCTCACACCCTTCCCATTCATATTCTTGTCTCTGTCTTCTCCTAGCTATCCCCATCACACGTCTGTTTATTTCCATTTCCCAACTTTTCCTCTGCCATGCCATATGCTGATCACAAACACCCCCACAACCGGTTCTACTCTCATCACAGGATTATCCTATACTGCACAGAGGCTTTCCCTGTGCTAAGCTATCATTTAGATGTTTAACAGTTCTTCTCCGCTTGTATTAAAACCTGCCTTTGGTTTTATGTTCCCCAATGCTGTGCTAGCACTTAATCACCTCCTTTCCCCGCTTTCCTCCTCTTCTGAGTGCACCTCCATCAACCTGTTTTCCTTCCCAGATACACAAAGAAACTTCATGCCATTTTTTGTATCCTTTTACCCTCCATTTCTAGTTCATCCTGTCTCTCCTCACACTTCTCTTTATTTCTAACCATTGCCAATGACCTGAGTCCTGGATTCAGTTTCCTGTTGCAGCTACTTTTAAAATCCTGTTCCAACTTCCCTTCTTCAAATAACCGACCTTCTATTCTCTCAGCTCTTTTCTCCACCCCCATCAATCTCTATGATTTATTTAAGCCAAAAGACCTGCTTGCTTTCTTCACATTCTCCACTTGATTCTCAGATTTGCTCCTCCCCAAACAATGTTTCTTGATATGTCTTTCTCCCGTTTCCCGTCTTTTTTCTTGCCATCCTTTCTACCCAATAACAACAGTGAAAGGATGCAGAAGATAGAAATAAATCTCTTCTGCTGTGACTAAGCATAAAGCAAAAACATGGAAAATACTGCTCATTCTATCTTACCTTGAGACAGCACATACCTAGAGAAAGTATTTCTGAGGAGAGCATATCCAACAATTACTATCATCATACTCGCCCTTTTCCCTTCTAGCACAAGGACACTATTTAATAAGTAGGTATGCAGGCCAGAGTGATCACTTACCTTATCAAGATCTGGTTCCTCCAACGCTAGTGCAAGCTCATTATTGTCCATTACAGAGGCTGCTGCAACATCTAGCGGTGTTGAACCTCTCATTGAAGGAAATGCTGCAGAAGAAAGTTAATATACAATAATTACATTTAGTTTGCAGTAATCACAGTCATGCAGCAGAGGGCAGCAATCACACCGGAATCTAGAACATAAATACATTAACAGTACGTTGTGTGGCTGTTCTTCAATCAAGAACATGGTTAACTGTTTTGAATAAAGTTAAAATAAATGCTGATTTTTTTTCTGACTTGTCATCCATATCAATAAACATACTCAACCACAGGTTTTAAATGCAGATGAAAAAATCAGTATTAACAACATAGCAAATCAGAGAAGTATTACACTATTTCTTTAGCAGCACAACATGTTAACTATGTAATTCTGCACACCCCTATCAATTCAAGATCTTAAAATATGTCTATATTCAGCTAAAAGAGACATTTTCAAGCTTCAGTGTCATCTGTTTTCTTTCTTTTATTCTTACCCCATTTTCCATATTTAACATGTGCAAATACAGGCATTGAACTGGTCACGATGAACAGCTAAAGCACTGTCAAATCACACGCTATCTTTACCTTATTAATATAGCCATCTAACTAGCCAAGACAATTTTCCTTGTGTTACCAAATCTAATGCACAAACATACATTCAATGTTCCAAAGGAAAAATATGAAATTCACATCAATGGCCTAAAGTTCAGAGGGAAGTGAAATGAAACCAGATGAAATAAGCAAGCACTGTAAAGGGTTACTTTAATCTTAGATGTCCATTCACAGCTATTTTTAATGGAAAAACTGTCATATTCTATGGGTTTAATCCTAAATTTTTCAAGGTATTTAAAATCACAGATTCAGGTTATTCTGTTTCTAATACAATTCACAGACACATAAGGATGAAAGGAAAATGGAAGAAAAAAATATGAAATCAGAGGTGACACCACAAAGTGGTTTGAGCTTCAGAGAGGCTTCATCACATGATTTAACTTCCTATATAAATTAGATACTAATCCTGTGATATCATAGTTCCTCCTAATCTTGCTTTTAGCTGTTAGCAGCTACATGACGTACCCAGTCCAACGCTGCTGTTTTCCAGTAAGTAACTTAGATGCTCAAACATGGCCTTTTGGTTTTGACGACTAATTCGACAGAAGTAGCACAGGAATCTGCAACAGCTTGCCACCATCTTAGGAAAAACGATCTGCTGAAGAAGAAAGTTGACAAAGCAGTGAAATAAGTTAATCACCAATCTGTTTCAGTTCTTCCTGCACTATTAACAAGGAAAGTATAGCGAAGTTACCAAGGTGATAAGCAGCTGACAGTTGCTTTGGTTCTAACTAAAGAAAGGATGCACATTTCCTTTTAACTTTTGTATTCATTAGGCCATTAGGTTTAAAATGTTGAAAAACCATTTTGCAGAGGACTATAGGGGACATACAAAGGGAAAAAACAGAGGAATAATTCTCATCAAAGCTATTTGCAGACTAGCAAATGCAGTTAATAAAAAAACTCTTATCTTAGCAGCACTATGATAACAAGCTCAATCCCAATATTTGATCAGAACAGAATAAAGACTATTCAAGAACCTTAGTTTATGCTCCCATATTACAGTAAGAATATACAGTCTTCACAGAACACATTTCTACAGACTCCTATGTTGTTCAATGCATAGGCCTGATAAGATAAAACAAAACATTAAATTGCCATAACTATCCAATGCTTTTAAAAACCAAAACCAAACAAAAATCCCCAGCACTTTACTTGCTGCACACTATGTGCAAGGAGTTCTCCTCTGAGAATAAAATAATTCCATCTATAGAACTCATGAAATAATGTTTCACAAGTTGCAATTAGTCCTATCATCTTCCGAAATGAACAAGTTATGCTATTCTCACATTTTACGGAAAGGAGCTGAAAGAACAAGATCAAAAATCACAGGACAGATTTTTGATGCTTTTTTAAAAAGGTTTTTCTATCTGATTTATTAAATTTACCATTTTGTAGCACTTTTTAAAAGTGTCAAGTTCAGTTGCAGATCTATGTCCTAAGGATACTCAAAAAATCTTGTATAATCTGACTACCACTCGTTAGGCACAAGCAGGAATACATTCTATACATTATATATTCTATAATATCCAAGGTGATCTCCGAGCGTTTTAATTATAGCATCATGGGGTTTTTTTCCTCCTATGATGTCCTGTCTCTTTCACTTCATACCTTTCAACTACAAACAATATTGCTTATACGTTATCACAACAAAGTCTAACAGATGTCACCTTCCCCACCGCACAACTTTAATTCATTCTGAGAAGTGTAACCTTTTCACTAAATAGACAACACTCTTACAAAAAAAAAAATGACATAATTAAAAGCTATATAACATGTATTATCTTTTCAAGACATCAGGTGCACTTCCTAACTTCCAGACACTTGATTAACTGTAGTCTTATTTCAGCATAGCTTTTTACAAATATACATGGGTCATTTGTCTATTTCAGTCATGAAGGAGCTATTAGGTACAAGCAGCGATATATATGATTCCTGTTCTTAAATGTAGGGTAGATGAAAATGAATGTAAAACATTCTTTCATTCATTAAAACATTCAACAAAGCTTCCACCAGGGAACAGCGATTTTAACAGAACGTGTAACATAATTTTGTTTAGAAAATTACAGTAATACCAATATTGTTAAAAACTGTCTTTTTATAAATTCCTCATTATTGACAGGAATATATATGAATATGGAATTCTAAAAGTTTCAATCAGTAAGAAATAATTTTGAAGTAAAACGACTCAATTCTGACAGCCAAAAAGAGTGTTGCTCAGGATTCTCTGAAGATGAATGAACAACCAACATGGGAAACCAACATGGCATGAAGATTCCAAAATTGTAAGATCTAAAGACATAGTCCTTAAAATAACTATTTTACACATTAAGATGCACATTAAAACCTAACTGTGATGGAAATGCTGAAAGCTTGGCCAAGAATTTTCTGGGATATACATTTCACCAATGATGTACCTTTTCACAGTTTTGTTATAGCCTGTACTAGCAAAATACTTCTAAGATACTGAGGTACCTTCATAGCCACACCTCATTCCACAGATCTCATCTGTTTCTGACACATTTATTAACAGCACAGCTGGAAAGAAGCCTGGTATAAATCTCCTTCAGTTTGAACTCACAAGCTTTTACCTTCTCACCTTTCCTTCAGAGAAGTGTGAGCTATAACACTCTCACTATGTGTGTCAATACAGCCTTATCATAAAATCGCTTAATCCAAGAAGCTGGAGATATAGCTTAAACCAGCTGCTGCCGCAACCTAGGAAAATGCCCAATCCCTAAACCAGAGACTACATTGCATGGTTGTTCATTCCATCTCTTGAAGCTGTAACACTGAACAGAAAGAAGGGCTCACAAAGCTGGAAAGAGAAAACAAAAGGGAACATACTATCTAGCTGTGAGGAACCTGCTTGAGAGCAGGAAAAGCAGAGTTCTGTTGCCTGATGCCACCACTATAACTGAACTGTATGCAAGCAAATCACTGCACAAACCCACAGAGAATTTCAAATGAGTATATAAAACCATAGCTGACCAAGGCGTGCTCACTGTTTCTGGCTCTACTCCTTTTTACTCAGAAAAATCCCCTATCTGGCAGAGTGAAAGATCTGCAGCACGCACAAACATGTACCTTTTCCAGATTAAAGGCTAGTGGTTCTACCTAGGATCATAAACTCTTCAAGTGAGACTTCTCTGCCAAATTAGAAGCATGCCAGCAAAAGATCAACAGACAGCAGATGACAATAATTTTACAAGCAGTACTTTCTCTCCCTGCAAAGCTGCACTTATTATGAAGGCAACTTCAGGCTTCAAACTCCAAAGCAACACTTCTCTAGCTATACAGTTCCCTGCCCTAGGTTGGTTCTGTGAAATCTCCGCACTGCAGAATCTAAAATCTGTGCTACTGGTGCACAAAACTCTTTGTTAATAAGCCTTGCTGTGTTATTTCATAACAGGACTGTAGCCCTGTGACTCTGTAAGAAAACTACGGGTTCTGAATCATGAGTATCTGGAAGTTTCCACACTTATGGAGAAAATGAGGCACCAGAGTGTGGAATAGATGAAACTGCAAACACACCCTATTTCTCATCCATACTACGTCATAGGATTTCTACTTCCATGCCCGTTCCAGTTCAGTAGCTGAGATTTGTGGATTCCTTCTGAGGTACCTAACTCTCCCCATGCATTTGATAAAGACAAAAGACATAAAATAGGACATTTTGGGTGGCCAGACATATTAAATGCTGCAACATCAAGTAATTTTCTAGGTCTTCATTCGCTTTGAAGGATATAATGGTAATTTCTATGAAGTATTTTTGTAGATCTGTGTTTCTAAAATTTTATATAAAAATATTTTTAACAGAATAAGAAGCGACTGGGGGGGTTATTGTTGTTTTGAAGGGGTTTTTTGTCACCTTTCACTATATGTACACATTGTAGCAAAAACAGAGGGTTGCAATACCTATAAATCAGCAAAGTATTAATTATCTAATAATTAATCATAGCTTACCTTGAACTCAAATGTGAGCATATTAAAACAGAAGAACTAAAACTGGTACATGAATACTACGTAACACTCTGATGGTATAGTGAGACACAATATAGCAGTATCTTACAGAGGTGTATGAACTATGTGGCCAAAGAAGCAAAGAAAGAAGAGCGTAGCTGCACATAGAAGGCATTCAGGTAATGAGGAGCTACCAGACAGAGACAAGATAAGCACAAGGTAGTAAAATGGGCTGAAAATCGTTGCAGATACATAGGAAGAATGAGTGGCCAGGCAAAAGAAAACAAGATACACAGTATTGGGATCAGAGGAGACCCTTCTTTTTGGGAGGGAGGCAGTAGGACAAAAACATCAGGCACAAGCAAAGAGAAGAAAGAAGATAAGCCAGTTTCACTTCTGACTTTATTCAGTAGCCTAAATGTCCAGTTAGGCTTCTCTAAATTTATTACATTCTGCCTTTAAACTACCACATATATATTCAAGCATATTGCTAAGAAATGGGAAAATACAACACCGCAAGAAAATTATTGTTCAAGTATTTGAATTTGAGCATTCAGAATTACGTGGTGTTCGTCTCTTACAGTTTATTGCTCATAACACTTCATCTAGGATGAAAAAGTATATTTTCCTAGCAGAGCTACACCTCCTATAAATGCAGCTAACGTATATATTTGATTTAATATAGGAACAAAACCTTTTAAAGTCCTCTTAAAAGACAAATGAGATACCTATAAAGTCTCATTCACTTTTAAAAAATCAAGTCCTAGAATGCTGGGCTTCTCCCTCTAGTGCTATAAAATCTGTTCTATTTTTAACATTAATCAGTATATCAATTTGGACAAGCAAAACTCATCTTACATGAGGAAGATCTATTTTTCTTCCGATACTTATTCTTAAACATCCTAGTACACTTTTGGAAAGGTTCAAAATATAAAACACATAACAGAATTACAGTAAAATTACCTGAGATTTATCTCCTCCAAGCACATTCACCATCACATCCATGACAGTCTCATGCATGCCCAAGACTCTCATTAAGTTAGGATGCTGATAAAACACCTTGTTGTTCATTATATCCCTAAAATGGAAGAAAAGGCAACAATGTGTTTTTAAGAAACATCAATTTAATTTAAATCAATGATGCATTATTAGAGATTTCACAAATGCGCATTCACTGTAGTAACATCATTTTAAATTCTTAAATTTCAGCATAATACAAAAACGCCTGACAACTAAATGCTTCACATTTCAATATGCTGTCATTCCTCTAATTTTAATGAATTCTATATAATGAGAATCTAAACTTTTAAATTATTTCAAAATGGCATTTCTTCATCTTTAAATTGCTCTTACCATCTGTTCTAAGAAAAAATATATTCTGTGATGATTTAAGTAGAAAAGAATATATTCTGTATTAAGTAGAGAATGGGGATCAAGAAATTGAAATCTAATCTTGCCTTTGCAGTAACACCCCTTCAATATTTTTCTCAGTTCACAAAGTAGAAGACAATAAACTGACCTAATGCTCAAGGTTATTTGTTAAGTGTGTTTCATCAATATTTCCAAAATTAAGACTATCTGTCATAAGATGTAAAATGGCAGACAGTCCCCTTAAATAGGAATATTTTAACATTTTCACTCTGCCCACCATCCTTTCAACATGTTCTAGAATTTGTTGTATTGGTTTCATAATCCAGAACACAATTTATGTGTTTTGATAGGAAATCCAGGGATTTCTAACATTTAGGTCAACCTGTTAAAAACAAATGGCAAACAACAGATATCATGCCTGCTTTACAGAAATACAGAAAACTGAGAATGGAAGATGAGTCATAATACAGCACCTCTGTGAATGGGGCTACACACATGACGGGTTTAGACAAAACCTACCCTTTATCTGTCGTAGAATTCTCAGCAACTTTACAAACTCAGCATCAGGTACAAGTTAGCTAATACCATCACATACTAGTTAATGAGGTGTTACCATGACTTGCTCAAGTCAACTGACGAGATTAGTCTTTGCAATTTTTACAAAAACAATACGGTTTTTACAGTGAAAAAGTAAGAATAATGGAAGTTCCTTACAACTGTTGCAAAGAAAAGAAATTGCTTGATATTCTTCATGAAGGGCAAATAAATACAGTTCTCAGGTAACGGTACTATAACTTTCTCTCTTTTTAACCACACCGTTTTAATTAAAGTAATTGATCTTCTGTGAGTATTTTTTTTTCTCCCTTCCAACATTAAATGGCCTAATCCAGCAATTATTCATATAAGAGGAGTAACAGACATGCAGGCATGAACTATAACAGCACTGCGTAACAAACGTAATTTGATAGCAAAGATGCAGAAAAAATATTCTTACATCAGTAGGCATTATATACAGGAAATTTTGTGTAATTCTAATGTTATAAAGGATAAAATGAGCAGCCTTCCGTGTTCAAATACTTTAAGTTGCCACGGATGATGACATAATAAATACTAACCAGTTTGAAACATTTCAGATCACAACAACACTTTGCTGGTTCTACCTAACTGCCTGCTAAAACATGTACTTCAATGAAGCTCTAAGCATTCGGCTTAACTACAGTAGAAAGTGTTCATTTTCTTTAGAGGAGAAAATACCTTACTTCACAGAAACTTTGACATATTTGACACTGCTAGAGAGATCAATTGGAGCCATCTTGGAAATATCTGTGAAAATGAAAATTTCTGGTACATATCTGCATTTCAGTACAGCAGTAATTTTCATCCAGGATCTAAAATGAAAGGATTTACTAATATAACAAAAAGCTTTACACAAACTTAAAAATAAAATTATGTTTATTCCATACCCTAATCCATTAATCATTAGCAATTCCTCCTCTTTTCCCATCCTGACACTGAGAAGTGAGCGAATCTGGCCCAGTGCTGCAAGCAGATTAATGGTATCCTTCACAGAGGCAGCACTAATGGTGTATGCTTTCCTCAGAGCTTGCAGTAGCTCACCAATGCTGTCATATTGCCTACGAAGGAGGGTGTACATAATCCGAACTAATTCGGGATCTTGAATTTGATCTTCCTGGGACCAGCGTACCATAGTCTGGGATATGAGTTCTTTCAGTGTAGCTAAAAGAATAAAATACACAGAATTTTATTAGCTATTACAACAATTAAAAAATGTCAAAAAAAAGTATTACAGTAAAATATTAGATACCAGTAGACAACGAGGCAGTTGTAAGAAAGCAAACAAACATAAGCAGACTGAACAGAATTTTTCAACTGGAAAAATAATTTTCAGATCTTTCAAGATAAGTGTGATGCTCTTAAGAGATGGAAAACAAGAAATATGTACTTAACATTTAAGTCAATACCAGCATCATCGGCAATTAAAACTACTTAGTTGATCACGACTCTAAGAATCATCTTTGTAAGTTAAATGCTACATTTAAACTTTTAATTTATACTTCATTTCTACATCAAGATTTATAAAGTAGCACCAAATGCAGCACCAATACCTTTTCATTAGTAATGACTGAAATCTAATTTTATAATTACAAAGAAACATCATAATTTTTATGATCATCAGCATAGGTTTGGAATACAGAAATTGGTAATTAAGTTTTCAGTAAACTGTTTATTAGCTGACAAGTATGATTTCAATTACATTAATGAATATGAGCTCAGCTTGCCAATCAGTTTTGCCAGGGGGAAGGAGGGAAATACAATCCATTCTAAGCTTAAAAAAACTGCCACAAACGAGGATGAGATAGCCGCCATTTTAAATCAAATATCCAATTCATGCCTAACCAGGGTGGCTTGAGCAGCTTTCACTATTTATTAACTTGATGAATATTTAGCTATTTCGTTGTTCAAACAAAGGATCTACATTGTCATCAAAAACATGATCTACCTGGAAACATCTCAGAAACGTATGATGATGCAAACACACTAAGGAGCAGGTGATGTAAACTGACTTAGAATAGGCATATTTAATCTGTATTTCCCATCTGTTTGGGGAAAGCCACTGTCATTTGGGAATATACTTTCTAAAAAAAATGTATTGTTTGGAACTACATAATGCATATTGCTTGAAGGATTTCTGTTGTATACTTTACATGTTCAATGACCCTGAAAACAATTTTCCGAGCCCAGAATTTAGAAAATTTACCTGAAAACTAAACACATGTTCCAGTCCTCGCTCCAACAAATGGTCATTGTTGATATCAAGCAGAACATGAATAATCACCTTCAAGCTTAAAACAATGCAAGTTTCTTTCCTCTGTTTCCAGCAAAGTTACCTCTCGACTTTCCCAAAGTTCTTCCAGTTGTAAGAACTGACCCCTCAGAATTTCCCCAACAAAACTGTTTATAATTAGTATATATCCATTTATTTTTGCATCTACACTGTCCTTTCACTTGTTAACTCTTCTCCCTTACAGTTTACTTAATGATGTATTTATAGAAAACCATCACTAATTCTTAAGATTTTGTTCAATAAACAGGCTCTTTTCTGAGGGGACAGATTCTGTATTTCCGTAAGACAGCCATATTCCTACGGGCATGTTATGAATGAAGATATTAAACAAGATTTGTTCCAAAACACCACATAACTTTCTTCAATCAAAACAATTTCTTATTTCAGTGCAACGAGGCAATCACCTCTTCTTTGATTTTTGCTCTAAACTCTTCCTTCCTACAATAACTAATAATTTCCCATAACTTTCCAACTCATTGAGTGTCACTGATTTCTGATTACATAAATGTAACATATTTTTTCTGTCAGAACGTCAATGATCTTATTACAGAATATAATTACTTACGCCGGCTTTCTGCCTGGGGGGAAGGGCATAAAGATGTGACAAAGAGCAAACTGAAGTGGTAAACTCAAGGACGAGTTTAGGTTTCCTCCTGCGAAATACTGTGAGGTTTTTGATAGCTCAGGTGATGGCCCCTCTCACAATGATAAATGACAAAATGTGCACAGATTTTTTGTCTTTTTGTTTTACAAATCTAGTTCCTCATTTCCTAGTACTGCCAGAAATATATAACTTTTGTTGGATTGAACAGAATATTCATTTCAAAATAATGTGGTATTTTAGATTTTTTTTGTTTTAATGAGGGAAAATACCATATGATTCACTAGAAGTAGATACATTCCACTTTGGCAACAAAAATATTATTTGCATTAATTCAAATTATGATGGCTATTTTATATACTCGAGTTAACCATCAGATATTTATACGTGTAACTAGCAGATTATTACACATTTTAGCACAAACATAATATTCCACAAGAAACACATACTCTTGAAATGAACAAATGAAAAACAGATTGTTTCCCTAATACTGAATTGTCTACGGAGAGGTTCCCATGTGTAAGTGCAACAAAATGGTCCTGTGTTTTTTAGAGCTTCTCTCTGGAGTTTTGAAAATGTTTCTCCATAACAAGTGTTAGTGTTTCTTAGGTTTTAGTACCTTTGAAGGTTTTGATTTTTTTCTTCTGATAAGCTTTTAAGTAGCATATTGCTATATGTAATTACTTTTAGACAGTATGGCAAACAGCCTTGGAGAAATCAATTAGCCATGTCCTTGCATGGATAAATTTTTGGTCAAAAGATCAGAAACGGAGGGTATAGAACTAAATGGCAGTGGTCACAAAGAGGGAAAAACAGCAATGAAGTTCTGCACATATCCATGCTGTGTTCTGTGATGCTAATCACCTTCCTTCCCTGGAAGACCTGAGAAGGAGATAAGTAGATGCAAACAAGTTTGATGATACAAAGTTATGAAGGATAGCTAATATGAGTGTAACTGGAAAAAAATGCAGAACTTAAAAAGACAAAACTGACCAATAAAATGGTGATGAAATCAACTTCAAATAAAGTCACTGTAAATAAAACAAGGTAGGAAAATATAGTCCTTATTTATAAACAGAATGTTGAGTTGTTAACAGAGATAAGATCTGGCGGACAGATCCATGAAAATCACAGAATAGTTCAGGTTGGAAGGTACCCCTGGAGGTCACGTGGTCCAATCCCCATGCTCTAGCAGGGCCTCCTAGAGCCAGTTGTCCAGGATTATGTCTACATGTTTTGTTAATATCTCTAAGAGGGAGACCTCCCTGATCAACTTCTAAAAATCTCAGTATCAACTCAAATTCACTGCCAGTCAAAAAGACAGAATCAAAACCCAGGATTTATTAAGAAAGGAATGGTTAAAGCAGAGTACATTATGCCATTACATTAATCCAAAGGTCAGTCACATCTTTTCATCCAACACAAGAAGACACCATCAAATGAAGCCCATTCAAATAGCACGAGCTAAGCCAAAAAGAACAGTGTTTCTTCACATAATGGATGACAGAACCCTGAAACTCCCTGCCAAAAATGTGGCAGATACTAAAAGTTCACATTTGCTCAAGTGGAGACTACACAAATATCTGTTAGAAAGATACAACTGGGATATAAAAAGATAAACCTCTTTAGTCTCAGGAAATCTCCTGAGCTGAAGATAACTGGAGAATGGGACAGCATTAAAGTTGTAAGTATCATATCCGATTGTTTTATTCTTACTTGTCCCTAGATAACCATTTGTGGTCACCGTTTGAAACAAGGTATTGGGTTGGATGGATCTGAATCATTACAGCCTGTCTTACCCATCATATTATTCCAAAACTGTACAGTCTGTTCAGTGCTTCTTGCTCCGAGTGAATAAGGCTCAATCCCAGGATTAATCTCTTATCTGAATATTTCTTAAAGATACAGAACTTTGCAGTCCAGTTTATACTGCCTAAAACTAGAGAATTCTCAGGTTGTCGCTCCCAGCCACTTACTGGCGAGTAGATACTTGCCCACATCTAAGCACAGCAGTACATTCTGAGGACTTGTCACTGAACTCCTGCAAAGAGTGAAGTCAGACATACTTGCAAAATTTGACAGACATTTTATTAATACTCCTTTAAGGGGTATTAGAGTTAAAAACATCAGGAAATACAAATATAGTTTTTTCTAGGCTGCTGTTATGCCTTCAGTGAATCTTAGTTTAGGTTTAGCAGAGTCTGCTTAGAGTCTCTTTTTCTAATCAGATGTATTGTGATAGTGATCTGTTGTGTCCTCCCCTCTAATTCTTTCTACCCTCTTTTGCCCTAAACTGAAACAGAGCAGCTGCTGTGTTTGTTGCACTTGAGAAAAAAGACCTCGCAACTCAGTCAAAACATGAAAATAGATGAGAAACAATCAAACGTGATGACTAAAAGCATCATTTCAATAATAGTCAGCAAGTCTGACATCCTTTTTCACTGCTAATAAATCACAAATATACCGTACTGCAAAAAAGCATTCACAACCAAAATTTTAGAAACCAGCAACAAAAAAATGAACCTAACAGCCAGTGCAAAGTCTATCGTAAATAACAAGCAATAAGCTAATATTTCGTGGTTTCAGTGTAAGTAGCACTCTAAGGAACAAAGTCCCAAAGGACACAATCTATGATTCTTCAACTTCACAATAAAATTGCATCTTTTTTTTCCTTGAACATGCAGCGGATATTATTCAACAGAGGCTTAACCTTTTCACACAAACATTTTCATATATCCACATTAAGACCACTTTGAAAGATCCATCGTTCATTGCTCTAATGAGGGAACTGAATTAGGGCATTTGTTCAAGCCATTAAATTCTATTTCCTGATTTTTTTGTTCTAGGACTGGTAATCAAGTGTATACCTTCTGAATGGTCCTATATGAAAGACTGCTGTTATAATAGCAGATACCCTCCCTAAGTTAGATGCACCTGAACAGCCATAGTTAAGTAAGCCTGACAGCCATAGCTTCTATTCCCAAAATGCACGAACAAGATCATTGATCTCCTTTCATTTCTGCCACCAGAAAAACAACCACCCTTTCATCACATCACAAGCTTCTGGCTTGGGGAAGGAGGTGAAGGGCAGGCCAGCAGATTAACCTGTAACTAGCTGGGAGCAACCTGAATATTGGGCATGGTGACATCGATAACCAGCTAAAATAGTTGCTAATTTTTTTCCAGTTTTACAGTTTTAACAAGAAATTGCAGTGCCTTAACAATCTTTCAAGGCTGCACGATGAGCCCCCATATATATGCCTTATCTAATTTATGACTTGACAGTTACAAAAGTCCTATCATCATAATTAACGCTCATCTATTGACTCAGCATGTTTATTTTCTGAGTTCTAGCTTGTTTTTAAAATTTTTACTAATCCATCATTAACACTAGTTCAAATTGCTGGTGTTCCTCTCCTAAGATAAAAGTCCATTTGTGAGTGGATATGAATTCATGCTTAGAGGAAAGGAAGACTTCTTTGTAGAAAATAGCTCCTTACTACGAATATTCACACCCTGAGTATGTATGACCAGACATTACAGGCCAGAGACTTTTAGCCTTGGCAATAGGTACACGCCATGCACAACACTGTCCCTCTTCATGCACATAAGAGGATTGGAGTACTGCAGGCACCCACTTCCTTTCACTCTCTGATTTCCAAATTTCCTGGGGGGTAAAGGGGAAGTGCCCACACATCGACTACCTATCTCACAGTCTCCAGCTACAGTCAAGTATATAATGTAGTATAAATATTATACAATTTTTCATTGACCTTTGAGTAACTTAATCCATATGCATATTTGTACTATGCATCACTCCAAGGGAAAGCCCAAGCCTGAAGAGATTATCTGAAATTTCCAGAAAAACAGACACTGTAGAATCACTTGTCCAACCTGCATTTCTTGGATCCAAAGTACCAGTATATGAAATACGTAAACTGCTCTGTTCCAAGGACCAAACACCATGTGCCCTGAGGCTTTAGGATTGAGTGCTTCCTGATTCATGACAACAGAATCAGACTGAAGAAGAAATGATACTTCCCAGACACTGAGCAAGTCCCTACTACCATTAAAGAGAAAGCAGATGCTAACAGATGAGTCACTGGAGAATAAAACTCTTTTTCATGCATCTCAGAGATTATTATAAGATTTAATGTATTTACAATCTAGTACCATGCTTAATAGACCAAAATATGCTTTCAGGGCAGGATAAACCTTCTCCGGTTCTTTACAGAACATGCAGATCATGTAAGAGGTGTCCTGAGTTATGAAACAGCATTGTTGTCTAATCTCATACAGCTCTTGACAAAATGATTAAGTATGAAATGAAATTAGCTGTTCCAGGTCTGTACAAGGACCTGTTGTCAAAACGAGCAAATTGAAAATAGAAGATGAGTACTTACCACCATTGTTGGTTAGAATCACAGAATCACAGAATGGTAGGGGTTGGAAGGGACCTCTGTGGGTCATCTAGTCCAGACCTCCTACCGAAGCAGGGTCACCTACAGCGGGCTGCACAGGACCTTGTGCAGGCAGGTCTTGAATATCTCCAGAGAAGGAGACTCCACAACCTCCCTGGGCAGCCTGTTCCAGGGCTCCGTCACCCTCAGAGAGAAGAAGTTCTTCCTCATGTTCAGACGGAACTTCCTGTGCTTCAGTTTGTGCCCGTTGCCCCTTGTCCTGTCTCTGGGCACCACTGAAAAGAGTCTGGCCCCATCTTCCTGACACCCACCCTTCAGATATTTGTAAGCATTTATTAGGTCCCCTCGCAGCCTTCTCTTCTTCAGGCTGAACAAGCCCAGCTCCTTCAGCCTCTCCTCATAGGAGAGATGCTCCAGTCCCCTCCTCATCCTTGTAGCCCTCCGCTGGACACTCTCCAGCAGCTCCTCATCTTTCTTGAACTGGGGAGCCCAGAACTGGACAGAGTACTCCAGATGGGGCCTCACTAGGGCAGTGTAGAGAGGAAGGAGAACCTCCCTCGACCTGCTGGCCACACTCCTCCTAAGACCAAGCTCAAGTCACCTGCACGATTCTGCATATGATATTTGGATGGTGTTACAGAAACTTAGGGCTGGCAAAACCCAATCTTGATTCACAAAGGCAATGAGAATCATCAGCAAAAATTTATGTTCTAAAGGAAGACCTGGAGGAACTTGGTTTTTTGCTTTACTTATTCCTCACCATCCATAGTCACTACTAAGGATTGAAAACTCATAAATGTATGACAGCGAAGACAAAATTTTTGAGATTCACACTACACATTACTCCCTGGGGTAATAAATAGCAGTGACAGCCAGGTGAGTTGCTCAAAGAGGCTCAACAAAATGCCCATGCAGATGGTAGAGGGACTGGAAGCACAGAACCATCTTGCCTATTTAGACCATGAACACTGCTCCTGTGTTAGGAAATAGGGTATGAGAATGTATATGTTCAGGAATACTGCTCAGAATAAAAAGCCTATGATTTCAAGTGTTTTGGGGTGTTTATGTATGTATGTTTGTGTCTATATGTACCCTAAGAAGAGGTAGTAGTAGGAAGGAATATGAACACTTCGTTTTGCTATTAGTTCTTCCCTGCCAGTAACAGAACCAGCTACAATAAATAATTTATCAGAGGAAGTAGAGCCAAAAGAACAATGTACCTTCAAAATTCAACATGAAATATTGCAGACATGAAATAATAATGACAAATTGCTACTCAACTGAAGCAGACAGAACTTCAGATAACTTCAGGATGTAGGACTTTCCTGTCTTCCATTTACAAACAAGATCTGTTTTGCTCTCAAGTAACAAAGAGGTTGAACTTACCTTTGTAACAAACATTACAGGAAGGCATCTGTAACATTTTTTATTTTAGTGCTTCCTCTAATTAAAAGTAGTGTATCTTGGAGACACCAGTAATACATGCAATAGTCTATTTTCAGCTTTCCGTTGCTAAAATGACTTCAGGCAGTTATCAATTACTTAATGCACATGCATTTTTAGTTAAATTGGTTAACCAACTACATAATATTCTTCAAAGTATTGTAAAGAAATGACCAGCTGTTATATATGACATCCTTCTGAGATTATGAACATGTGTTTCTCTGAAAATCCAGCATTTCAGAGAACCAGAAATGGTTCACATACTGTAAACTCTGGCAGCATTTACAAGTTAAAACTGATTGACTGCAATAAAAAAAAAAAAAAATTATTTTCTGGCTGGATAATGCTTCTGAATCTGGTTACAGGAATATGAAGAAAACTTGCGGAAACCAAATTCTTAGTCTTGTTTTCTGCTTGTTTTATGCCATTAGGCATAGTAAAGTAATAAGAAGACGGATATAAAACATGGCAAGCGTATGACATTTGTGTATAAATAACAAGAAATGTCATTTTAATTTACTCTTCTACAGAAAAGACAAACTTTCCATCTTTTTGTATTACAAAAACTACGAATTACAGTGCTGTTTATCCATCATTCCTCTGTGTGTAGAATAACCTTGACTCAACTACATTTATGTTTTTTACAAGAACTAACTTTAATTCAAGAATAAAAACTTTCATTGATTAACACCTGTCAAGCCTTGCACAGCTTTCTTGTAATACAATATACAAAATGGATATATGTGTTATCAGCTGATACATATACCACATGAATCAAGTCCAATCACCTTCCAGTGCCTTGCAACATGTAGCATCAGGCCTTTTTAAGAAGAAAGCTCATCCAGCTATCTGCTCACCATCAATGAAGAGAGAATTTGGACTATTTGGACTAAAGAAGTGAAGGTTCGGAGGCAATCTTATCCAGATACCTAAAGGGAGGGTGTAAAGACCACAGAGTCAGGCTCTTTTCAGAGCCCAGTGACAGGACAAAGGGCAATGGAAACACACTGAAACACAGTGAGACACAGGAGGGTCCATCTGAACAAAAGGAAACACTTTCACTGTGAGGGTGATGGAGCACTGGCACACACTGACCAAGGAGGCTGTGGAGTCTCCATCCTTGGAGACATTCAAAAGCCACCTGGACATCGTCCTGGGCAACCTGTTCTAGGTGGCCCTGCCTGAGCAGGGGGGTTGGACCACATGACCTCCAGAGGTCCCTTCCAGTCTCAACCATTCTGTGGTTCTATGAATTACTGCCACAGGACATTGCAGATCTGAAAACAGAAGAATGAAGACTATCTATTGGCTTAAACACCATTACACTAACTAACTTTAAATAAATTATTGTCTTGTTTCAACAGTTACTCTCAGTTCTCAGTTGTGCTTATTCAGCTGCGCTAGGTGGAAGGACTATTTTCAGATCTATAGAAGCAAAGAGCAGAATAAAAAAAATCTACTAATACAGAATTTGTATTTGCAAAAATAACTGTTCCTTCTGTTCAATTAATCAACTATATTGAATATCTCTTTAAATTCAGAAAGGATATGGTCAGAAAGGATACATTATGGACATATACATATATATATGTGCATGTATGTGATGTTTGAGATGAATCAGAACAAGTTATTAGTTTTTAATGAATGTATATATTCACCATCATGAAGTGAAATAAGTGAAAGCCATCCCTTTTTATACAAAAAAAAAAAGAACTGTATAACCCTTTTGTCATATATATCTTGGTACTGAGATGCACATAGCTTCTCATGCAGCAAATAAAAATGGAGTTAAGCTGTAAAGACGACAGTTTTTGCATTTAAAAAAACCCCAACCATATAAATAGAAACTTCTCAAGTTTGGAATGCTTGAGTCTGGATTATCGTGTCATAATTAACTTTCTACATTTCTTTGTAAAGAGTATGCAAATTTTCAGTTCCAGAGTTAATGATATGGAACCAAAATATTTCACACATTTTAACTTCTTGTTTAGCAATTCGTCTAAGATGTTCAGTATGTAGGATAATTGTTCTTAAACAAATAAGGAACTTAAATAGGTAGTCTCCTTCAGTCTGCTATAAAATTTTATTAGAAAATACACTCGTATTGACTGTGTACACCTTTAACACATGCATCATGGAAGTATTTATGTGGACAGAAAACTTACTAGGAGATTTCTCTTCTTCCTCCTTAGGTTCTACTTTTTCTGCTTTTGGCGGACCTTTGATTTTGTACATTAATGAACGGAGTTTGCCAGTCAAGGAGGAATCTTCCTCTTCCTCTTCCTCCTCTTCTAGTGGAATACCTTTGCAGATAATAACACTGGTTAGAAACAGAACTTAACCTTTGAAGATTAACTCGTTCAATGTTCAAACACCACCAAAATATCTACAGGAACTTCTTTTAACCAGGAAATTTCATACAGAAAAAAAAAAATGTAGTAAGGTCATCATCTTTAACATGTTAGCTACAGTAGCACCCCTCAAATTATGTTTATTTCAGTATACATACTTCTTATATCCAGATTTGTAGTCTTATTGTTTTCAGTACTATGACCAAAGAGATGGTATTTTTCAAAGATTCTACTATAGCAATTAATTTTGATGCGGAGTCATATTTGATTAATTATGTGATCCTGTATTTAATGTTGCAGAATGTAAGCTAAAGAAAGAAATGTATGGCTGTATCTCACAATATAGTGCAAATTTTCAGTCGATATACTTAGCAGTCATAAACATACTAACTGAATTTAAAACTGTGAGAAGGCACATGTGCAGAGATTACACTGATGATACACATTTTTCATGAAAATATATGCAATGAGATGGGATGTCACTTTACAAGGTAGTTTAACACAGTTCAGTCCGCTACATTGCTTCACAACCATTCAAAGCATTTTAAAATCTTTCACGTGTCTTAGTGATGATGAGATAACACGTGTTATGTGCAGAAACACAGAACCTCTAAGCAGGTTCCCTTCAGACCACAGCTAATTGTGCAAAGCTGAAATGTAAGCTTTTGTTGTTTGGCTGCTGGTCAAAGTGAAATCGAGAAAAGGAAAAGATTTCCAGACAGAATACTAAAGAGATACAAGCTGGAGCAGAGGGAAAAGAATAAACTGCAGAGACTAAAACTGATATTAAAAAAAAGAAACTAAGAAAGGCAAAAAGAACTGAAATGTCATATGAGGCTGGAGAAACTTTGCCACTGGCAGCTACCAAGAGGAAGGAGTTAAAAGTTATGATTAGGAGTGACAAAGTGACTAAGAAGAAAAAAAAAAGTCAGAGGCAGTGGAAGAGAATGAGAGTTTGAAATTGGAGACTACAAATGGAATTTAAGGAATGGGAAAAGTGAGACTGGCTGGGCAAAATGAAAAGCTAAGAATGAAGGAAAGCTACAGTCAGAGTCTGGAAAAACTAAGAACAGGAAATGTAGCCAATAAGGAGAGGAAAGAGAAAGCAGACGAGGATGTTCAAGCAAGCAAGAAACTATTTGGTATTGAAAAACAAGCCAGGCCCCAGTAGCAAGAGACACTGGGAGGAAAATCCTTGACAAGTTGAAATGGACAGACAAGAAGACATGCACTGGGATGATGAGTTACACCAGCATCACAGGGGTCTGTGACTGTTCCAGACAGGATCTCATTCACTGCTCCATATAATTAATTATAGATGCTGCATGCTCTTAGACGTGCAATCTATTCAGAAGCTGACTATCTCATATTGCTACTGGCTAATCACCTAATTTGTGGCAGAGGTCTGTGCACTGGAACAGAACGTTTCAACCCAGATAAGTGTCAATTTGACAGTATGCAATAAAATCTGTTGTCAATTTGTTTGTTTTGTTTATAACCAAGAAATTACACACAAAAATTATCACAGAGGACTGTTATTTTGCTGGTAAAATTAACCACTCACAGTTAGGACACACTAGGATTAAGACTGCCTGAGTAACTTTCATTCAGACTATTTGTGTATATTCATTATGAAACTGCCTTTAATTACTTGATTGCATACGTATTTTTCCACTTAGACTGCAAAGTATACTTAGTATTAAAAAGCTGATTAAATATTCCAAACACAACTCCTATTCATTTTATTTGCAGCTGTGATGGCTTAGTACTGATTTTCAGGACTAAGTCAGGACACAGAGTTGCATTTATCTGCAGCAACCACCTATGATAAATCTGTACAAAGAAATTACTATGGGTTTGTTTAGAATTCAGAGGATCATTGAACTATTTTTATAATGAGATTGTGCTTTCTCTATCTTTAATTCTCTCTCATTCAACATACACATTCATAATGTAGTAAACAACAACAAAAGTACACCCCTACAAAGAAAAAAACCCCACAATCAGTAGAGTTTGACCTCATGACAAGATGAAGAGTGATCAGGAGCTAAGCTAACTTTAATAATACCAGCAACAAGATTTCAAGGTAAAACAAATATATCGCAGAGCTAAGACATTTCCAGGTAATTTGGGGGTCTTCCATAATCTTCATCCTGGAGTCTCGGACAACTCTCTGGTGCCAAATAGGCATTATCTTTGAAAACAAGATGTGAGATCAAGTGCTAAATGACTGAACAATGGAGAAGGCGGTATCTAGCTTAACAAAAATGGGGAGAAAGAGGAGTAGCTAACAAGGATATTAACTATTCGCTTTAACACTTGGCAGAAAAAAGCTGCAGTGAAAGAAACAGTTTTTGGTAAGTACTTAGAAGCAAGGATGAATAACCATCAACACAGGATTGTCGAAACCAAATTACATTATACCAACTAAATTCCCATCTATAATGTAGCTAACCTTACAGATACAAATCTTGATTTTTAAGGACTTCTAGTACTGTCTTATACAACGTCCTCAGAAATACCCTGATGAAACACAACCTAGATACGCACTGACCTACTCATCATCAGTTTAAAAGTGGCAATTGGCTTACTGTGAAATCATAGCTTGGTGGTTGCTGAAGATTCTAATGGGGTACTCAGAAATAGCAGCACAACGTGGTATCAGAAGCCTTAACAATCATAGAATCATAGAATCATTAAGGCTGGAAAAGACATCTAAGAATCATTAAGTCCAACTGTCAACCCAACATCACCATGCCTGCCAAACCATGTCCCGAAGTGCCATATCTATATGTTTTTTAAACACCTCCAGGGATGGTGACTCCACCACTTCCCTGGGCCACCTATTCCAATGCCTGACCACTCTTTCAGTAAAGAAACTTTTCCTAATATCCGATCTAAACCTCCCCTGATGCAACTTGAGGCCATTGCCTCTCATCCTATTGCTAGTTACTCAGGAGGAGAGACCAACACCTGCCTCACCACAACCTCCTTTCAGGTAGTTGTAGAGAGCAATAAGGTCTCCCCTCAGCCTCCTCTTCTCCAGACTAAACAAACCCAGTTGCCTCAGCTGTTCCTCATAAGACTTGTTCTCCAGACCCTTCACCAGCCTTGTTGCCCTTCTTTGGACACACTCCAGCACCTCAATGTCCTTCTTGTAGTGAGGGGCCCAAAACTGAACACAATATTTGAGGGGCAACCTCGCGAGTGCTGAGTACAGGGGCACAATCACTTCCCTGCTCCTGCTGGCCACACTATTTCTGATACAAGCCAGGATGCTGCTGGCCTTCTTGGCCACCTGGGCACACTGCTGGATCATGTTCAGCCGGCTGTCGATCAACACTCCAAGGTCCTTTCCGCCAGGCAGCTTTCCAGCCACTCCTCCCCAAGCCTGCAGCCTTGCATGGGGG